CCCGGATACTATATAATTCTGTTGTTATGTGGGTTCCGATGTATGTCCGAGTTCGCTAAAAGACTTAAAATGTATTATGTTCTATGGTTGTGGAGTTCACTATTGCTCGGTTGTACACGTGTTATCATATGTTAAGATAGTATGATAGCTTGTCATTGATGATCTATTAATGACGAGTATCATGTTCTCTTCTGCTGTGTTTCACTTGTGCTCGAGCCATTAAATCTCAACCGTCTTCTCATAAAGGATGTATTGTCCTTGGGTTCTCTCTTCCCCTTTGTGGCGATAAGGGGCGTTCTGGTATTGGTTCCAGGCCACCAGAACTTGAATCTCGAAGTTATTTCTGTTGCGGCTCGAGGTCGTTTCTGTAAGATTAAATATGATGTCGACTGAGATGAGTGGTACGTTGTCTCGAAACAGCTTCCAATATTTTTCTCTTCGGTGATTTCCATTCGGACCTGTGGTATCTTCTGTTGTCCGCTGTGTTGTTCTGTGGATGATGTATCTCATTCCATCCTCTAGTTACAACCTGTATTGGAGATCAAGTTGTGATTCACGACTCGTCATTCAGTCTTCCTCCGTGTTAATTTTATTCTCGGGATGTCAGTGTGTGTTGTGTTCAATGTTGAACAAAGGTAATCGAGCGCAAAATAGAATATCAGTCGGTCAGCTTTGTCACTGCTTTTGAATACGAGTAGACGAAGTTCGCTGATAGTAATCTTGCGCAGATTGTGCGTCCACATATGATGAAAATTTCAGAGCAGAAGTGAGTTCGAAATTTCTTGTTGATCAAGAATATATTAGTGAGAAATCGGATCACTTTTGGCGATTAGAATAGCGTTACTCATTTTCATGAAGTTGGCCAGGGATCTATAGTCCACGTGAATGCTTGAAGTGGCATGGTTACTAACAATAGCCAGATATCAGAGTGACACACCCATTCCGAGCTGTATCTCAAGGCTTCTGGGGTGTCCTGGAAGGTTTTCGTCTGCTTAGGTGTGTTCCATCTGAAATGAATCACCCGGTGATTATCATCGCAATGGAGATCCTTGGAAGCTCCGGGGATTGAAGTAGTAGGTCAGCTCACACCCTGCCATGTTTCACAAGCTAGAGAGGTTTCAGACGAATATGGACTGTTACACTGTCTTGTGACAATGGAAAGGTCCGAGCGCTTACACACTGGCCCTGGGACTAACTCAAGACTTGTCTACTTATTCTTGGCATGTTCATATCCACTTTCGACTACAGCTGCATTCATACAATGAATTTAATCAGACTAGGCTGTGTAAGGTGTTGTCAGGTTGGTTGTGTCAACCAACAGCTTCTCTCCGTATCCGCAAACCGTTCCGGCTCTTCGACGAGGGACCTGTACAAGAGGGGCTAGTTGCAGATGGTAACGAAAAGGAAAATAGTCAAACGCTCAACAACTCATGACGCTCATATGCTATTGATATCAAGAATTCGAATACACGCCACACTAGGAACGACAACTATCAGAAGTTGGATGATGGGATGGCTACCATTATTTTCATCGCACCACTATCCTGGAAGTTGTGAAGATCGATCCTCAACCGAGCAGATAGGTCAAAACCGATAGGGACTTTAACCGTGTTGGAGTCAACAGGAGACTCAATGCGGATTATTTGAGCTCCGAGATCAGCGATGACCTAGAAGACCAGCGATAGCGAGAATAGTCTCGAACAGCTACTCGGCCAATCCTCTGCCCAACATAGGAAGGGCCACTGATGCTTATAACGTAAGCGCCAGGCTCTACTGAGGTCTTAACTTTCACGAGCGAACCTCGAGCTGGCTTCATACTAGCAGGCACCTGATCAGGCCAAAGAGGAGCGGCAGTTCCCTTCAAGTGAGTTACTGTTGCAGCTAGGTGGCGCCGAAAACGGTCATCGGCATTGTTGTTACCGGCAAGGAGCTCGGATATACCAGTAGCATTCGCACTTGGATTGACTCGTGTTGATAAAGTACCTGCCACTCAGATGATCACAGATTAGGCCAAGCCCACGGGGCGATACCAGCGACGAAGCCTTCATCCTTCCAAGGAGAACTACTCGGACCACTCTGATTCTCACCGACCTTCCCCACCACCGTCTCCCGTCTAGCTCTCTGTGCTTGGAGAACCCTGGCATGAGCATATCTCCCTGGCACTAGAGGCAGGCCTCTCACTCTTTCCTCTCCATACTCCTCTGTGGCGACTCCCAATTATAGCAGCCAGAGACTATGCGAGCCGGATCGATCTCACCTTCCCATTGATAGTGCTGTGTTGACGCTAAGATGAGGCTCTCAGAACACGACGGACCTCGTGCTAGTTAGAGACAAAACTCACGTAGTTCTTCCTCCTCTTGGCTTGAGGCCTCTTCTGAGGGCGTCTCGTTGTCGGGAGACGGTACCTTCATCGGAAGTGGCTCCTCCTCTCACACAGCAAGCACCGCCGCTCCACCTGATTCTCCTTATCCTCAACCTCGGGGCATTGACTATACTCTCCGATAGTTGATCGGGGATGGCTGGTCAGCATCTCGCGGAGCTCCGCCTCGGTGATTTCGGTAACAGCCTTGGCGGCTTTCTCTGATGCCTGAGCTAGTCTCCTGGACCGATGGGCCCCGTGATAGTCCTAGACTCACCAGAGGCATCCCAGGGACTCGCCAGAGGGAAATAGTGCCATCGAGAGCAACAGCAGCTATCGTACCGTTATCAAGCCAAGCAATGCCGTTGGGTGCTGCTGAACCTGAGTCCTTCCTTCCCCTGGACGGCCGATGTGGAGACCTCCCGAACTACCATCAGTCTTTCTATGAGCTAAACGTTCACCACTAGCAGCATCAGCGACTTCAACAATACCAGCTGCCTTATCACAGAGGCACAATAGACGCCCATCAGGAGATCCTCTAACCTGTAGCAGTAGACTGTCAACTTCATAAGTAGAGTAAGCACTACTTGTTTGGGGCCTGCTGATCCTACTCCACAATACGGAGTATTCCCCAATGCACTATTAGGGCGGCTGCCTAAGTCAACACAGTACGAACAGTCCAGCGATGACGAGCTACCTCTGGTGCCAGCCAGAACGTTGAGCTCAGTACAGACCTGAACTGCTTTGGAAGGCAGTCTCCAACGATTGCAGGGTAGAGTCATCGTTCTAGCGATTTCCAAGACCTGAGGATTCGCAGGTTGATGATTGCATGTGGAAGGAACTTCGCTCGCCTTGAGAGTCTGTGGGATCCTACTGTGTGTAGAAGTATCGTAACAGAGCACCTGTACTGACTTTTCACACACTCAACAGATGAAAGAGGGTACCTGGCCGTCGCGGCTGCTGCAGGTGAGAAGACATAGTGCTGGGAGTTCCGTCTTGGCCTCCTCCGCTTGCTGAGCCAAGGTTCGAGGATTGACCATGCGGCGACCGGAAACACTGGATGCCACTGGGGTACCATGGACCATCCTAAGGGCACCGCCATAGACTCAGCAGTGGCAGACAGGACCTCACTCGTGAATAGCATGGTGACTTTCAACAGGCACTTGTTCTGAAGATGCCTCCGAGGTCGTCACAACAAACATGATGTTATCAACAGGGCACATGTGACCGTGTAGGGCATCCTTCTTAGCCACTAGTGAATCCGCCTCATTCACTTCTTCGTTCAGGGGCACTGCACTTTTGAACGTCAAAAGATACCTGTGGGCTCACTCCGCCGAAATAGAAATGTGTCGACTCACCCAAGACCATCCTGACAACCTACAGCACAATGACCACCTAGGGGTGACAACTGGCATGCAGTTAGAGGAGCTGCTTGGCTGAGCCCTCTAGTGTACCTATCGCTACTGTCCATGAAGTCGGGTTATGGTACTCTCTTACTGTACGATAATGTTGTCGGCACTGAGCTGGTCACTATTCAAGTCGAAGATGGCGAGGTAGCCGTTACTGTAACCAACTGCTATCCTCACAGACGGCCGAGAGCCCTCGGTATTCACCTGGCCAACAACAGGACTGGGCTCATTGCCAGGTGCAGCAGACTTACAGCATCGATACAAGTGACGGCCAGGGTGTGGTCGATGCCGCTGGCTCCGCTGAGGAGCCGTGTTGGAGGCAGTGTGAATGTGAGGGTCAGGGGCTTCTTAGAGGGATCTGATACTGACCCTGATAGGGCCCGAGCTCGAGTCTTGCTGCCGGCTCACACAGGCTGTGGTAGATATAAAGCATACCGCCATCACTGCAGCCCACAGCAAGGATGGACCCAGCAGCAGCAACACAGGTACACGGTGCTGATGGTGCCGAGGCGAGCAGGTGCCCTTGGGGGCTCAAGTCCTGACCATCGACAGTGTCCAGCGAAATTCGAAGGCCTGATTATAGCGATTCGAACGACGACACCCCAGTGTCAGAATATATGTTTACTTTTATCAGCTCCTTCACGGATCATAGAAATTAACATACGAACTAGGGTAGAGTTTCACAGAACGTGAGGATTTCCGAAGATTTCCTTAAAAGGCTTTTATATTGTCACTCACATGTGCGTATTTTCCTACAACGCCAACAGAAATCATAGTCTAGTCTCAAGGGATCGTTTCGAGAACGAAAATGAGGAGTTTGCCAACATACTCGCACCACCTGTTTGTGAAGGTCACAGCGAGTGTCCAACACAGCAGCATACGGGTTCTCAGCTGTTTGAAGAGTTATAGAGTGCCTGCACTCACGAGCAGCTGAGGGTATGGTAGGCACCCTCTTGCGAACCTCCACAAGCTGGCACCTATGAGCCGCTCCCCTACTGGTGCCACACGACGGGACTTGGTCTGGTGCTGGTCACCAAGGATAGTACCTCGCAAGAGCCCCAGGTCTCGTAAGAAGATATCGGCCCCCTTCCTACACCATCCGTTCTCCTGTAAGGCCACAACGCGCTTCCTTAGGACCTTCAAATACACCACTGCCAGCCCTTCGGGGCCTCCTCTGGTCTCAAGCTCGACCGAACCTGGGAATGGGCGTGCCCACTGAGGAGGCACTTCGGGTAGCTCTCACGGAGGCAGATGTGCCCTTCGGTGAAGTAGATGATGCCGTCACCACTGCCAACCACCAACCTATATGCCGGGGGCTCGCTGCTGGGTGGGAAGGCGAAGTTGCTCACTTTTCTCTATTATATGGCGCTCGTTCCACACAGGCCAGGCTAGTTATGGTATTGCTTAGTGCCCCTGCGGCTTGCAAGAACGTTGAGGTCTTTGTGGTACGAGGAGTTGACGAGGTGCTCATCGGAGCGGTCGACCCCGGGAATGATACCCTAATGGATCGTACGGAAGGCTGATACCTGACGTTACCACTACTAGACGGGGCTTCGCCTCGAATGATCAAACCTGCTGAGGGTCCACACCTTCACCATCCTACCATGACCGAAAATCGCCCATTGGTAGGCGTCTTCGTGTTCGAATAGAGGGAGACTACCAACGACCTCTGCAGCAGCACAAGTGGTAGTACAGATAGGCTAAACACACTATATATGGCCAACGTTTGGTATCGGGGGAGGCACCTTCTGAGACCCTCGATAGGAGCGAGCAGCACCCAAAGATGCCCTTCGTGTTGGTGCACATCGGCCCGCCTTCCAAACAGCCATAACCTGCTTTTGCGAGCCGGCTCCTACTGAGCAGAGATATCCATTCGTGCCGGGGAGCCAGCATAGGGTAGAGATGGCAGGGGAGTCATGGAAGGCCAAGCACAGCCTGGATAGACAGTTAGTAGCTGCCACCGAGGGAATCTTACATGGGTGTAGTGATGACCTCTACCGAACCGAAGCGATGAGGATCCCACACGTGAATGTCGCTGATCTTGGAATGGCCCCTGAGAACTGACATCGACACACGAGAGAGCATGTGGCGTGACCTCCTGCATTGCCCTGATGCCATAAGCTTCACGTCTGGGCCATAAGCCAAGGCACTGACTAGGCTAGTGTGGCCAGTGTATGCACGCTGCTTCCCTGAAGGAGAGGAAATCAGCAACAGCGTTGTCACAATGTGGTCCCACCTGTATCGGTGTTCATAAGAATGACTATATCACCAGAGCTGTATGCTACGATGTCGTCATCAATATACTGGAGATCCCCAACCCTACGGGCACTGCCCACACCGCTAGGCCATCCAGTTTGTTTGGAACACCGCCCAGAGCCGAGCTGAAACCATTCGCTGGCGGTCGTGACTCAACAGCACCCTCACCATGAGCTGTAGCTCGAGAGAAGCGAATGACTGTGACATTGAACGACGGAATTGATCCTGCTCAAACATGGACGCTGTGACGTTTCATTTCATTATGAATGATAGCGAGTTGGTGCTAGCCGTTGGGCCCGAGAGGGATGCTGAAGTGATTCTGCTACACGGTTGCCCGTAACAACGAACACGCATGTTAGCATCTGCGTGTACAGGATAATGCGTTAAAGAGGCAGCGTGAGAGTCAGACAGTGTGTGGGCCATTTTCTCGAACGTCATTCAAAGCCCTTTCCGATACGGCTGGCGTCCTTATCTAACCTGACCCGCTGAACGATGCAACAACTGCAGTGAGGATACCGGAGAATTGTGCCTAAATCCGTGGCCATGAAGTCGCGTCGCGCGTCTGCATCGTGTGATCATCGAACAAACCAACGACACGTGGCAGATGCGCTGTTGGACCCGGTCCTGTGTGCGCGAAATGCGACCTTGATTGTGAGTAACTTCACTCTGAACAGTTCCAGCTCAGCAACCTTCAACGTCACGAGCGCCGACCATGGAGATGATAGAGTCTATAGGACGTTGTCTTATTCATGTCACCCACCTGTAGTAACCTCCCGTGACTACGATCCTACGATGCACATGCCCGATCTAAATGATCATAATGAGAGACGATATTGCTACCCTACCGAGAGCCCCGCTGTATTGACATACAACTTAATCAGGATATGCCGGAAACAACATCGTCTCTTCAGAATCATGTTGCAGTAATAGCATCGGCTGAGGGCTCAGCGTCGTCAGCATCCGGATGGGCCTCGCATACGATGTAGTAGGTCGCTCCAAAGTGCTTCCTCTGAACTTGAAGTACTCTCATGGCTGACTGCTTCACCAGGCGGAGAATTTCTCGGTTGTTATAACAGCCGAATTTCTCAACGTGTTTAATGAGCGTATTATGCAGGTACTTTCTGAACATAGGGTAGGTGCTCTGACCGTGCTCGAGGAGGAGGACCTTTCCTCGACAGACTCTCTTCATCTCCTGTAGCGTCTCAGTGGGGTCCTCGAACGAACAGATACCGAATGTGTCGACCACCGTATCGAAGCTCTTATCGGGGAACTCCTTCATACGAGCACAATTACCACTCTTTAAATACAACGGTATTGGATCCAATAGATGCCGTTTTTTCTCCGCTGTTTCCAACATCCTCCGACTGAAGTCAATCGCCGTGACTGACTTGACTTGTTTGGCATTGTAAAACCTAATTAACGATGAAATACCACACTTCTCGATAATCTTACTGGAAGTTCCGTCCAGTACCCACAGCGACTTCTAGGACATCCCCCTCAGCATTACCGATGAGCTGTCGTCGCCATCGCGTTATGCCCATCAGATACTCATCTAGTCTCACCTGACGGAGCACACTAATACGATACGATGTTGACAGGAGCTCGCGAGAAGAGCACTCACTTTATAGTCCCACGTTGTGGCAACTTCGTCGAATATTTTCCGCCGTCTTCTCTCCGTAGGCAAGTCCTCATCCTTATACCTCTTTTTCCGGGCTGCGAAACCATAGTTGCCGATATACATGCCCCCGATGAGGACACTGACCGTGCCTAGTGTCGATGCGAAGACTTTGGCATTGGACATAAGACAGCAAGGAGGGATAATAAACGCTGAGCACCTACACTCTATCGATCAACATGATACTATTTGATAAAACGCTCAACACTATGGAGCCATACCTGAATACTTCTATCCGAGCTTTCCGAGCTGGTACATTCTCCACTGAAATAATCAAAGTCAACCTGCTAAGGATTAAACCCGTCGCATGGAATCACAGTCATGATACTCGGTGATAAGTCACCCGGCCTGCCGACAAAGTACGCCCACTATCACCAACGTGACGATTTTTGAAGGGTCGTAGAATTAGCAGCAGAGGAGGAGACCAGACTCCCTCCCACAGAGCCCTTTCGATGTCCCATTGTCCCTCAGATACATACGCGATTAGACCTAACAAAATATTCGTTAAGTCATCGGTTCCCGCGAACCACCCCCCACCCCCCCAGGCGTATCAGTCATCTTCGGCATGAACCTACTAACTTGCCCTTCTAACTTGCGGGAGTCGTTCTTCGGACACGCCCCTCAAAGGAGCAAACCCAAACAATGATAAAGTTACCAATATCACTCAGCTCGCCTGAGTGATCTAAGACCTGTCGACTTCGATGAGGGATTCCTCCCGAATTCTACTGACTTCATCATCGAACTTTCCCCCCTACTCTCTCGGAAACCGCAGAAACGATCTCCTTTCGATCACACTTGATAACTGCCATTTACATGAGACAAGACCTCAACAAACTAGAGGCAGCATACCGTACGAGCCAATCCCATCGATAACTCGGTGACCAACAAAAGTTGAAGTAGAATTGATGAATTACGAAACGTGCCTTTGTGGTAGCTGCATGTCCCCTTGCATTCAGCATCCTAATTAACCGCTCCGTATTGGGAGCTCTGAATTGCAACACCGTCACTCGCCACGAAATGCATCATGGAGGTACCAACCTTCCTGCATCCGGGCCAGCTCGTCGTCCAAGCATTGGTCTAGATCGTCAGCTTTCTTGAGGCCATGCTCGACAATCGAGTTGATAACGTCTACAGCCGCTTCAAATCGTTGCTCATATACCTCGAAAGACGATCAATCAACACTGACCATATGACGTTAGTTCGAACGCCCAATACATAGTTCTACCACGGACGCAGTGGGTTGGCATTCTCCTCGAACTAGTGAATACAGGCACAACAACTTTCTAAAGAGAGAACTGCCAAATTCTCGTTTCTGGAGTAGAGTTGGAAAATATGTCAGCTTTTCTCTTGGGAATTCACACGCTAATCTGTGTAGGAGTGTACAGAAACTAACAAGAATCTCCTAAAATTTCCTCAGAATTTTTCATATTGTCACCAACACTTGTAGCTGACTATGTGCATATTGCAGAGTGTGGTTGTCTTCACCTTCCGTTCACGAACCGATTGCTCCGTGCGCTCTTCCAAATCTCGAGCCTCTTCCTTAGCAGTAGCGGTGTCTTCAATCACCTTCACCTTCTGCGCCTTGGACGACTCATGCAGGTGTTTGCTCTGCTTATCAAGCTCGACCAAGCGAGCCTCCGCATCGGCTACTGCCTGAGAATATCCGATGGAATAGAGACGAGGAAAGCGTGGGAAACCTTCTTCTCTGAGTCGGCCCTTTCCTTCAAGAGGGCCTCTCTGGTTTCCTTCCATTCAGCCTCCTTCATCGCCACAGTCTTGATCTCCTTCTTAGCCTTCCTCAGCTGCTTGTCAGCTTGCTCTCTGCTTTCAACGTACTCTCGTAGGGCATCCTGTCCAGCACAGTGTCGGAATATACCTCCGCTTCTCTCAGCTTCTCCTCACTGATTATATGCAAGTCGACATACAAATTAGAAATGAACAATTCCCAAATTTTCCTCAGAATTCCCATATCGTCACCAACACACGTAGTTTATATAGAGCTCACTGCCATGCCTCCCCCTCTACCTCTGCCTTGTTCAGTTGCTTCCGCGTGTCCTCAACTCTAGCGTCCACCAACGATTCGATATTCAGACCGGGCTGAGGGCATGCATCTCGTCAAACTACTTCAGCTGAGGCGCTCACTGCAGCTAATGATCCAAAACCTCGTTTGAGGAACTCAGTAGCTTCTGGATTGAAGTTGGCACGAGGTATCGCTGGGTGCCCTCCCGCCCCGATGCACTCATTAAATTGGTGACACAGTCTGGACAAGTAGTGAACCCCCTCTCACCCCCAAGCACATGCCATCACCTTTGAAGCGTATCCTGCTCCGTACGTAATTGGGCATCCTCGGCATTTGTGTCCGAATCACATCGGGCTATCTGAGCCATTCCTCCCGATTCGTACACCCCCCTTTACCCCACCTGTTCCTGCAAGTGGCGTGCCTCCTCATCCAGCCGCTTCGAGCGAGCCAAGAGCTGCGCTAGATCCTCATGACTATACGTTTGGGCATCGACCCGCTGACTGAGCTCGTCAATCTAAAAACCATCACAATAGAGGATATGCCCTTGTCAGTGACAGAGACCCGATCCCTCAATTTTTTCTCCTTTTCCTTCTCCCTCGCCGTCCTCTCTTCCCACTTCTGCCTCTCTTCAGCCGCTTCCTTTTCACGCCTTCTTAATTCTCCAACTTCACTGCATTAAAAACTCTTACCATGTCAAAGTTCAACTACACTGTCATACCGCTCCTTCTCCGCAACACACCCACGTATTTCCTCGTTCTTCCTCTCATACTGCTCGGGGTCGTCCAGATCGCCACTTTCCTTGATCTTCTCTATAGCCGCCTCATTGTCCCCGATTATTTTCAAGCACTAACCACACGATCACCCACACCTACACTCCTCTGCAGTCACCTTCGCATTTTCGCTCCTCAGCTCTTCATACTGCGCCCTAGTCAGGCCTTCTATCTTGTCGAGCATCGCAGTCTCCTCCTGAGATGGAGTGCTCCTCAGCACTCAGTACCAGACGCTCCCCACCAGTGTTTCGGCCTGGCCCGCTTGAACCCAAGAAGTATAGGCCGTACCAAGCGCCTTCTCTCGAGCCTGAGGCGATCCCATACAGATGGCAATCTGCCCGAGGTCTCGGGTACCCGACAGGTATCAGAAACTGAATTAATTCGCTCCCTCATCCTGTCCGCCTCATCTGCCTCTTCCACCAGCCAACTGAGCAACCCCAGGAGGGCAGGCCATGTGGTGATGGCCCCAACACTAGCCAGGGCTGACTTGGGCACATCATAGGGATACAACAGCTTCGTCCTAAGATGAAGTTATCAATAACATTCTGTATAGAGACGAACCCACCTGACGATTGAGATGAGGTCCTCAGGAGTGCTCTTCTTTTGGGGAGCAGAGACGATCAGGTTGGGATCAATACGCTCCAGCAGGAACTCGCAGAGAGAGAAGAACTCCCTCGTCGAAGGGCTGTCGAACCAACCAGGCTTCATACGACTGAGGAGACGTCCACATTGTAAGAATAAAGATCATCCGCATCACATTACTCTGAACGATAGCCGTGCTTGCTTAGATAGGCATACACATACTCAGCGCACGCCTTCCTATACCCCTTGCTTTGGAGCGGCCTCTCGTCCTTCAGGCGTACTGTCCCGTCATGACCTTCACACAGCAGCACCAGCATTCAGTCTGTCAGATCGAGGGTGCTACTCCTAGGGGGATCCAGCAAGGTTGCTTGAACAGGCTTTGGGCTCAGCGAGGCCTGTAGGCCGGTATGGCTCGTCGGAAGGGCCGTCTGGTAGAGGTCACGTACAGCCCCACCTGTACGACACTACTCATTCTCACAGACTAGCTGGGACTTACTCTTCGCGCCACTCCCAGGTTGTTGTTGTTGCTGTTGTTGTCGCTGACCAACACTCTTCTTCCTTGTGGTTTTGGGAGCACTCATCGGGTTGATGGTAACCCTACGAGGGGCCTTCTCCGACCGTGCTGGTGTCGTTGGCTCCATAGTCGCTGTAACGCTGAACAACCAAAGTAGTGATACTAACCCTACGGAGAAGGTGCATCCCATCAACTCATGAACGAAATAGCAACGACCCGTATGGCAGGGCGTGCTCATAGGAGTAGGCGGACATAGACCAACATCGTGTTAGCATACCCATCATTCCCACCTAGTGTCGTATTAAGACTCAACGCAACCCCACTCCCAGCTGTGTGTACATCGGCTCCTGACATGTTCACGTCCCGTTCTTTAGCGTCCTCTTCCAGTACTGGAGGAAGGACGTACCCATAGGGTAGTAGGGGGAGCTCTCACACATACGACCAGTGAGACCATGGCTATCCAACACTGCTCGGAATTTCCCACGGCACATGTCCGGTTCTACCCAAACCGAGCCGCTCTCGAGACCAGCAGCATCAGTACCACGACGCAACTTAATGTACCTGCATACATTCACTCGTCAACCAATTCTAACTCAACGACCACTCACCCTCCTCCCGGAAGGGACGCACTCCAGCTGTTACGAATGAGCCAATATGGTCTCTCATCACCTGTGCTATAGTCCAACTCCGAGCCCCACCCAACGAGGGCAACACTATGATCAACATATCTGATGAAATCATGCAGATAGAAAGAGCAGAGTAACTGCCTACTCCCAGCCGTGTATTCCAACTGTGAATGCGTCCAGAATAGATCCGCTCAGCTTGGCCTCGTCCAGAGCTGTCTTCACATCCTCAGAAAATGCCCCCCATGACTCGACCGCTCTAGCTCTCACATAAAACACTCCCGATGCTGAAGGAGCTCCAAGTATTCCCACAATGGGTGCTTCCACTCTTACCACCATCCGGGTTGATCTCCGGTGCCAGGTCCGACACATACTTCATCGTACATCGTGATTCCCGCAGAGTCTTCAAGACAGGACCAATGTCACCCGAGTCAGTTTCGATCCTGCGACAATGTCATGTGTACCTACTCAGCCTTCCAGCTGCTCACGTGACTCCTATAGTGTCCGAATCATTGGCCGCATGAATAGAACTCCGATCGCTCTCTGTGGCCCTGGACATCGTGTACTCTGAGTCCTTAGCATGCAGTGATACAGTCAGTGGCCCGAACTCATACCTAATCTAAGCCATCAACTACGGGATCGAACCTTACGTATATTACAGATTCCTCATCATTTCAAGCTCGCTGCACTGTCCATAAAAACCTCCTACATATCCATAGTCCTTAGCATACCACACTTCGTCCGAATCCTTGAACGCATCCTTAGGACACGAAGGCACGTCTCCTCTATAAGACGTGTACCTGCATAAATTCAAGTCATACCATAACAACGTGAAAGAGAGCAGAAACCTACGGCAGCTTGCTCTCCTCGATGATACCAACTTCCTGTGCATGCCGAAGAGCGAGGACTTCCAGGCCGCCATTACAAGCCTGGTTGTACCTGGCCATGGGGAAAACATGTCTTCTTATCAAGCCCAATAAAATACATCGAATGAAATTGCCTACTATATCCTAGTTACTGCAGGGTAAGTTCTAATCCTGACCGACCAAAAATATGCCAGCTAATAGAGACCATGAATCACACTCTTCCCGGCCTTAAGAGAAGCCGGTTGAACCCCCAAGAACTCACCAGCTGCAGGCTAGGACGGATTCCGTACTCAATTTAATAGGTTGTGCTGTAGCATTGATGCCCAGACCAATAAGCATTATCTACAAGGGGAAAGTCCCATCCAGTAGGGATAGGGGAATTACATTGATCCTCGACTGTAATGCATAAGTCGAAGCTATAGCATAGCAGGAGCCACATCCGCCTTGGTCAACCAAAGGGACATTCCAGCTACCACCCATCCTGAGACAGGAGAGTTAATCACATCAGTAGTAGATCGACTCCCACTTCTTCCTCCAGTCCCAGTCCATCGGCAAAGGGTCATACAGCGCCTCTCCATCCTTAGTATCGAGTTCGCTTATACCTCTATCAATGTTGCATGATGATCTATAAGAATCTGGTTGATGCCAGCTGAGCAGCTGTAGGAGGTCCGAAGCAAGAGGACTCCTGCGACTGAGCTCTCCACCACCCAGAGCCCCTCGCATCCCACGAAGCCTCAGACGCTCCTAAGAACGCCGCTGATACCCGCTGAACCATGAGAGTACTACTTGTTTCAGCCTCATTGCCTGTCCTATAAGCAAGCTCCGATAGGTTATATCTCCGCTGTCGTACCCGCCTCCCCAACGAGGAGATCTGTCAAGGGACGACGATGCTGGAGAGGGGGCGAGCGCTGATTGCGGCGTGACTTTCCGACCGTACCAACAGCCATAGTCAAACCTGAGCAATACAGTGGAGAGTCCCTCAGTGGCATGCAAGCAGCAGCAATTACACTTGGGGATCCGCGGAGGCAACGTGGTACCATCCAATAAAAGTCTCGCCGCACAAACCTGTCGCGCGTCATGAAATTAGTGGCCGAAGGACTATACGGTACAACTTACTCTCCCATCCCTTCACCCGACCGTCAGTGTCTTCGTGAGCATCTTCATCATTGAAGCATTCCTCGCCGGACCCGCTACATCTATACCGGGAAATTGCGAATAAAGACGCTGCCCCGATTCGAACCTGCGCCGAGTAGCATAGCAAAAGCGACACTGGCATGACACCATTACAAAGCAGACCTTGGGGGCTCACACGCCTTTCTATATTACCTCGAAGCCCTCATCGAAAACCATGCCCCAGGTGCCCACCAGACCACTAGTATTAGCAGCCAACTGATGTCGATTATGCTGCGTAGCCTCTGCGTCGTCGATTAGGATGAGCCTTGAGCTAAGCGTTATGTTAAAGGTCTGAAGCCACAGAACGATGAGGACTTCCCCAGTGACACCCTCTAACACTCACCCGGGACTCCGGAAAGTACGTATATTCAGAGAGATCGTCAACATCATTGAATGCCCTCATAAACTTGCTAGAATACCCAGGAGCTGATACCCCACAATACGGGTCCCCAGGGTTCCTCGTGAAGGACGGTACTGAACATACGAATATTAGTTACAAGAAGGGGCTAAAGGGCCGTCCTCTCACCAAGCGAAGCGTTGTTAACTTCAGAGAGTCTAAACGTCCACAGCCCGGCAATGTCGCTCATTTCACAGTGCACGGGTAGATCTGCCTCAACACTCGTGATCAGGACAGTGACCAACAGGCCGCCGATGAGGCTTCGGCCGGTATACATTCAATTCAACAATGTGATAAGTGAAGTAATGGCTGTAGAGTATAAGCAGTGTCCACCTCACGATACACCCCAAAGTTCTATTGATAACTCGACCCTATCATAATATCAAGCTTCAACGTCTCGAGACATGATGGCAGCAGCAAAGTCACAGAACTGCTCATAGCTGTCAATTACCATGGCCTGTTGAGTCCCATGAGCGACACCTCTTAGCGTGTACCCTCCTCGTATTGTGGTGGCTTGCGATGAGTAAGATCCTGAGCTGAGCATTTCCCGATCAGAGCTGATCGGTCCCCCTCCCGTCCTACCTGTCGGACACAATCAACACTCAATGCCTTGTACTCTCGTAGGGATGCAAGGATGCAGTCTCTATTAGGACTGCTAGTAAGCGACCGCGAGCCCTACCACACTTAGTCACTTGTGCTCCTCCAACACCACTACTGTCATACACTAAGTCGTCTCGGCCGACTCAATGTTCTCCGACTACCACGAAGAGGTGTCCATGACCTTTCCCTCCGTGCCGCGTGCTGCTTCATCCGCTCTAGTCGCTCCAACACAGTGTACAACATCCGTGTCGTCGCCTAAGGCTGGCCTCGCTGATTAGTACCACACCCGCCCCAACTTCAAGATTCTTCGTCAAAGCCCGCACGTATTCATCATCATCACAACGCAGCCCATTAGATGCATCCAGTAGGCACGGCATCCCTTGACACATATGTTCACCTAGCCTCGCACTATAAGCTGACGTACGAAGGCTAGTACAATAAGGCCGCCGCCGCCGGGGACCCTCAACCCGCGGCTCCCTGTTCTCAACCTTTCTACCCATACGGGACTTCATCACAGCAACTTGAGTAGGCACCTAATACCCACTTCAAACAACACTGATCTTCGTAGCGACCAACCGGCAATCGATCCTCGAAAGGGAAGGCCGCATCTCTAACACTAATGCAAATCTTAGGTGTCCACAGCTCCGTCTGTGCACTCGCCAACAGGTCTCGAAATACAGCTGATGCCTATCACTGCGATAACGACCGCTGAGAGAGTCATTTTATCCCACCTTGGCAACTTGAGTGCAGCCGTCCCCTTCGAGACACCCGTCGGTCCGCAGGCCTTTACTATCTAGAGCGATCCACTGCATCACCATGCCGCTGCCAAACCTCTCTCCCACAGCCCGAACAGGGACCACACACTCCCCAGCCAAGTATGCGTCTGCGTACATCTGACCTAGCGCGACAACATCGGTATATATGCGATGCCCTCGCCTACTGCTTCTCGTGGAAGTAGCCGGGCTCGCAGGTTCAGAGTCATCACTGGCAAACGACTTCAACGTTCGCTCGGTCCCAGTCGGCATCACTGGCAACTCCTCTAGATTGGAAAGATAGTCATCTGGAGAGCTCCTATGAGGAAGTTCATAGCCGGTGAGTACTACTACCTGTATCCAGCAGCTTCTGAACAGTTTCCTTGTCTCGAGCGGCGTAAAGGGACACACGAAAAATCGAATCAACGTTGACGAAGACTGCCAAGTCCGTGAGAGGCAGCTGCATTATCTGCAGCACCACTACTGAGGCCACCCACATCTGCAATGTCCCACCTTGAAGGTCTTCTCAAGTGCTCCTGAGTGCCCAGCGTCGTGCACCTAAGCACATAGGAACATCTTTCGAGCGGTCAACTGTACTAACCTGCAGTATGATGAACAGCGTCCACGTCGGGTTGACCTCCCTAAGCCCCTTCGAGTCATCCTCGCCTGGAAAATGTCGCATTCCTACCACTCCTCGAGCAAATCATGGCTCACTTCGCCTCGGAGTGTCCAACATCATAGGCTTGCTCATGCTCACCACAACGTCGCCTCCGCCCTCTAAAAGGCAGCCCCTTCGTTCAAGCGGTAGTAGTGATGAGCCCTACTTGTGAAGGCCTTGGGGCGCTGGGACTCACGGCTTCCATGAGCTCCCATCAAACTCACCACACAGGTCCAATGCTGCGCCGATCACATGCCACTAGAAGGAAAAAGCGCTCGCCCTAAGATTAGCGCGCGCCCACAGGTGTGATCAATTCGGAGAAGAGTGACTTAAAATGGCCCGAGAGGATCGAGTTCGACGACGAAGCCGGACGCCGTCCTCGCACAGGAAGAGGCGACAGTCACGCTCTCGCTCTAGGGTAATGAAAAGACGGTCTTGAGCGGTCTTGAAAATTGGTGACGCTCATCGTAATCTTAGAGCGACTCGGCCCCCTCGAGCTTCTCCTCCTCATCACGGAGTAGGTCGCAAGATAGACGCAGTAGGAAGGAACACCGACGGTCGAGGAAGGATAAGAAAAGGGAACGAAGACGCCGGTAGGCAGTGACCATCAAAATTCGCCACGAAATTCCAGGCTGGTCGGTCGGTACTTCAACTTACCTTTAGGTCTCTCTCGTCCTCGAGTAGCGACTCTTCTCCAAAAAAGAGGCATCATAAAAAGAAAAAACATCATCACAAAAAAGATAAGAAAAGTAACGACACGTCTCCTCCTCCTCTTTTTGGCGAACGTAGTCACCACAGGTGCTCCATTGGGCGCTGTGACCGAGCAGTATGGGAAATACGGTATCATCAGAAATGAAGACCAGGTTAGTTCAGAAGGGACTTGCGAGGCTTCCGAGCTCTCTCGACTCAGTACAAGAAGCGGGCCGAATTTCTAACATGGTTGGTAGAAGTGAAAGGAGTCGACATCGAAGCTCTCTCACATGTTGAGGAAAGGAAGCTCTTCGAAGACTTCGTAGAGGACTTCAATACGGCGACCATGCCCAGCAAGAAGTAAGCTCTATTCGCAGGGGTTGTAGATAGTCGCTACAAGGTACTATGACATCGCGGCTTGGGAGGCCCGACAGGCCGCGAAGAAATCCAAGCACAGCAAGCGCGACAATATCACTTTTGATGATGAGCGCAGCAGAGCGTAGTACAGGGCAGCTAGGTGAGCTCGGGAGTATTCCCACCTGCTCAGGCGCGAGATTCAATCAATGAGGGAAGCCCGGACCGAGGAGGTTACACGCCAAACCTTCGACGTTATGAAGAAGGACCGAGATCTGGTAATAAACACTGGGGAGGGGTTGTGTCGGTCGAGACGGAAAGTTCAGGTGCGTGCGATGAAGGAGCAAGAGGATGCTCGTAATGCCGTTAAATATCTGCACAAGGCGGGCCACCACGATGCAGCTGAAAAAATTGCTGATAAATTGCGACCTGGTGAACCAGAAGAAGAAGATCTTGAGTAACGTTTTCTGACCCAAAACGTATCCTTGCGTTTTTAACAATGTCATTTTATAAGTAGTGTTGTTGCTAAATATTCTTCATCATCGCTGCTGTCGAAAGACCAGGGGCTTCTCAATAATGTATGTACTTAATCCAGCTCTCGCCTCTGGTCGTGGCGCAGGTGATGCTGGTTGTAGCGGGGCTAGGCAGATGGTAATTCTATTGGACAGTGTCCGAAGCATGCGCCAATGAGTCAGAACTGATAAGTTCGTTGTCCTGAATTTCCACACTGTTTTGCTGTGGCTTAATTTTGAAGTGGCTGTATCAGCTGGAAGACGTCATCGATCAGACGATCCAGATGAGCATCGTTGACTTCTTTCTCGTAGATCATGCGAGTGGCTACCCATTGCAATAGACTGCAGGGGAGCAGTGCCCCCGAGTGCTGTACTACTCGAAAAAACTGGTTCGACTATTGAGTCTGCCGGGGTTATCAACGCGTTCATATGGACATCAAGTGGGTGGATCTACTTCTCTAGCAGCGAAGTGTAGCTATAGTCTATAGCGATTCACTATAGTGATGTTATCAAGATTGCCCAGCCCAGTAGTTCCCTCATCAACAAATTGAGTACTATTTACACTCCCGAGACGAATGAAGGCGAGAAAGTGGGGAGGATTTGGGAAGTGAGTGCTACGGGACTGAGGTAAATGACTTTAGATCTGTTTGATATTCTCCATTTTCGGGTCAGGAGTATGATGATGAGGAGGCATGCTCTATGTCGTCCATCGACGACAACTCCGGGTTGAACCTCCATTCATGACTTCATATGGCCTGATATACACTCATAATACTACGAGGAGGACTTGCCCTTTTAGGCCTAAGGGGGGGGGGGGGGTTGCGGGCCCCAATCCCGTGTGATGTTACTGCCACTAGCATGGACTAGTCGGACTAAATCACAGATGTTGTCGAAATTTGATCCAGCTCTCGTACGTAACAACGCATCACTGTCACTGAATGTCATCTTAAATTTTTTCATCAAGCCAACACTCCTCTTCAACATCTGATCGAACCCACCTGAACTTTCTCATCATACCTATTAATAACTGATGTCGTTATCATCTTTGAGTTGTTGATGTGGGTATAAGGAGTATATAACACAACAAGCGTAGTGAAGAGGCAAGAGGTCACTGCTGGTTTCTGTAGACAACCAGGCTTACAATTATATACCAATAAAAAAAGGGATGAATGATGAATATGTGCTTGATATCAATCTAGTTGGACAACAACAATCGGATAGGAACGGTTAAAGCAACTTTCGCACCAACGAACGAAGCCGTCAGAAGAGACATGCGGCTGCCAAGGCTCCGCGGGCCGCCTTGAACAGGGGACTAGTCGGGCGAAGGTGTCACCAGCAGAACGTACTGCTGGACTGCAGAGACTGCAACGTGAGTACTCGGTTACGATAAAGGTCGGACATAATCTGAGAGACTCCTTTCCCACCTACAACACTGGTCGTGGGCCTACCTAATAGACTTGGCTGGAACGCCATAAGAAGCTAGGGTCTCTAATAGCACATCCCCTAGGTCCGCTAACTCCTCTCTTGTGGAGCTGCGTATGTCAGTAACAGTCTGACGACTGACTTGGTTGCACGTAATTGCCACCATAGGGCAGATAACGGCTGCTGTTTGAGTTAATATAGGTAGCAGAATCTCGAATGTCATGGCATCTCGCCGAATACGATTCTGATCGACCTCTCGTTGGGCCTTGAGCATCCGCTTTTCCTCTTGTAGCTGAGCGAGACGAGTGGAATAACGTGCGTCGATTTCTTCTTTGTCTGTCTGGCATTTTGCTATCTTCTCGCGAACGTCGTCGAGGACCAGACCAACAGCCTCGCGAACATTATTCAGAATTGTGTCACGTACAACACGGACATCATCAGGTAAGGCAAAATAACTGAGCAGGAGCATACAACAACAGAGGACCTCCCAATTCCTAGCCTACCTGGCTTCTCGACGGACTGCCTCTTCACTCACTGTCCAAGGGATGCAAATCTCCCCATTGCGGTACCAGTTTAATATATACTCGAAAAGAGCACCATCTCGATCGATAAAGACGGATGGTGGCGAGGCCACCTTTCCCGTATCATCCTTGGAATCGTTCTTTGACATCTTCCAATCCTCAGAGACCATCCTCGAGAGCATCGTATCGGGGTACTTGTCTAAGGTGGACTTCGTCACTTGGTAGATCTTCCCACCAACGCTTAAAGTGATGACATCAGACGACAGGGAGGAGGTCATAGATGGATGAAAGAATCTTTAGGGTGACGGTGGAAGATACAGAATAGGTTAGAAAGCGAACACTTGACGAGGCATGAGACTGGTATGAGAAGTATTACAGTGCTTCAATATCAATGTAGCAACATCAGTTTGCCATGTAAAGTTCTAATTGTGTTACATAATAACATGAAAATTAATATGATCTAATTCAATGGGTAGGCGTGGTCTGCATGCCTTGCATATAGCCATTATATGAGTTTTCGTTGGCAGTACACACCCCATTAGGGAACATGGTCTGCCGTGCTGACCCTGACGTCTCAGAGGTGTTCAGCTGTTGGATCGACTTGTCCGAAACATTAAGCACAAACTCATCAGGAGCGAAGGGCACTGGGGCCTTATACAACTGCAGCAGCTCGCGCACTGGCACGCCAGGTGGAGTACGCTTGATCGCGCTCACAGGCACGACCGATGGCATTTCCTTCGGTGGAGGCTCGTAATAGACCATCCTGTTCTCCTTGATGATCTTCTCGCATTCTATCTTCACTTTACTCATAATGTTACCAACAATAAGCCGCATATGCGGCGCTGTCACCTACACCCGATGCTCTATAGGCCGACCAGACCAATGCTTCCTACCTCTTGCAAGGCAGCCTCTGTTTCCTTCACTGCAGCCATGGCACGATCAGCCCAAGCATTGGCGATACCAAAGTGCTCGACCTCGAACTCAGACGAGGCCATCAGAGTGTTGGCTCGAGCTCGATACAAGGGACCGACGACCGAAACGTGATTGACCAGATAGGCTAGTCCATCAGAACCTAATCATTCGTCAGTAGCGACTCTAGTATTCCCAAATGCTCACCTCTGAGCGTTTGTTGCACTGGTCTGGCATCAGCATCAACTTGCATGGCCAGCTTCGCTAGAAGGTTCTTCGACCCTGAACGGCTCGCGGCCAACTCGAAGGCGCAGATTTGCCCGCATAGATGGCTGTAGCTGCAGAGACCTCCAAGCACCTTAGAATGAGTAAAGTCCCTATGGGCTTCCACTATGTAGAGGGGCCCACTCGAGGGTCCAACTCAGGGATGGCAGCTGCCATCGTGGTGAGGGTGTCCCGACATGTCTGGAAGGTTGTCGAGGCCTTGCTGCATATCTTAGCTATCTGCAGGGCCAGGGTCAAGGGAACCTGTCATTCACATGGGGCGTACTTCATCAAGACCAGTGGTGAGGATCTCTCCACTGCTCGAGTCCACAACGAACTGACGGGCTGCTTGGTCGAGCAGGGAGCATGCGTAGACGAATAAGGTCTGACCGTGAGCGCAAGGGAACTATCGGTGGCTCTCGTGAAGCTACCATAGTGATATCGATACCGATAGCTTGAGTCGATGTCTTCGCTTCACTGGGCTCTACCACCACTTCAGGTGTCAGCCCTGACCTCCATCGTATAGTGTACTTCCTTTTGAAGGGGATGGTCTTGGACACCTCAGCCAGCGCCAGAAGACCGTTGATATAGTCTACACAAGCACTGAAGGGAAAACACCATCAACGCAAATTGTCCGTGGGGGGCTACTTCTGAACATCGCTGGGCGGGTGCTTGTTAACAAGATGTGAATTGAGGTCACTACGGAGACTAGTCATGGCTCTGAGCTTGATGGCCGCGGGTGAGTCGATGAGCGTCTCGAACCTGAACTGGGCCGCGTCGCCGCCAATCGATGGGAGCTGCACTGGCAAGATCATAGTAAGGTGAGAATCTTGGGGTCCAAGATAGCCAAGCTACTATTCGCCGATATATTAAGGACAGTTCCACAGATCTTCCTAAGCTGCATGCGAACCCGTTGGCGGAGTAGCTCCAAAAGCTCAGCCCAACGTTTCTCATCCGCTAAGGCGCTTCCAAAGTATCCGGACTCTGTGGCCGTTTCGAGCTGAAGGGCGAATGGGGTAACGTCGGGCAGGGCAGCCAACAGACCCCACAATGACAGCTATAAATCACTTGAGTAACCGCCGTGTGCAATGCGATATGCACTCTAAGCAGGAGGGAACTAATGGAGATGGTGAGAATGACCCTGCACGCACGCGTGCGCTCCGAGACTGCACGCATGCGTCAGTAGCAAGGTCTCGGGTTCGAACCCCAAGCTCGGCATTTTTTCACACGCGCGACGCATTACCCGTTAACTTCAGCCCAGGGTCAGTTTTTACATGTACTCGTTGGTACAGAACTCGCAGATGTATCCCAACGTGCAACCCATTCCAGGTGGGGTTGTCGTAACTCCATCGACTTCCTGAATGACCCAACGCGTGCAGGTATGTACCCGTCCAACGTCGCAGCTGTTCCGTCTATGGCTGCCGTCCCTAGCGGCCTCGTTGGGACCAATTTGGTTGCCCCTCGGGTGTCACTGTCACCACAAGAAGAGGCCTTGTAAGTACCTCACCAACTAGGTCGGGTTGATTACTGGTGTTGTCAGCTATCCTATGCTTTTCCGAGTAGCCAACAAATCTGGCAAGACTAGGCTCAGCGGGAGTGAGGCGGCTGACTTCCTAGCGAAGTCCAAGCTCTCTCGGAAGACCCTCCACGACATATGGAACCTAGCAGATAGCGACGACATGGGCGATCTTAGCCCTTTCGAGTGGGCGGTCAAAACAAGCGACTGCACTGAGTGAGGATCTTTCTCAGTTTCTATAAAGCATGCCGACTAGTGGCCCATGCTCAGTCCGGTGTCGTTGTTATTACTCCCCAGCTATTGAATGTAGTACTGGATGGCTCTCTGCTGAGTCCACGCTCATCGCGTCAGATGGAGCCTCCCGTCCTCCCTGTATTTGAAGGCATTGAAGCTGACGAGACCACCGTGAGGAAGTCTAAGTCGCCACCTGGTGGTACGGTGGAAAGCAGTCTGAGTCCAATCTGGCAGCTCACCCGTAAGGCTGGCTACTAGACTGCGTGATTAGTCCTTCCTGATATGTAGGCAAACACCTACAGAAGTACACCGATGTCTTTCGCTCCCTGGCCAAGGACGGTTTTGTCGGCGGACTAGCGGCCAAGAATTTCATGTCGAAAAGTCACGTCGGCCAGAAGGATCTTTCCAACATCTGGGTACTATAGTCGCTCTATGAAGTGGTAATAGGAGTTTCTAACGCCTCTCAGGATCTCGCTGATAAGGACAGGGACGGCAAGCTAGCCTACAGCGAGTTTCTAGTTGCCATGCATCTCATCTCGAGAGCTCGGGAAGGATACAAGATCCCTGATAGTAGGGCGGTGGAAAGCACCGTGAAAAATGTCCTATTGTAGAGCTCCCACCTGCCTTGAAGGCAATCCTTACAACACCTCCCGAGATGCCCTCATCTGATGCCACTCTGGGCCGCCCGATGAGCACGGGGGTCCTACCTCAGGCCCATGAGACGGAGTCTGCCAGTCCAGTACAGCAGGAGGTCAAGCAAGGCAAGCAGCGGTGGGTTATTCTATTGCTGTTGCATATGTCGCATGTCAGAGAACATCCCTGCGACCTCCCCGGCCCTGGGTCAGAATGAGCAGCCTAGTGCGTACGTCAGGCCTTCTTTGGCGGGCTCCTACAAGTTTGACGGTTCTTCGCATGATATAGGTCGTAGCAGTCTACTCAGGGGGATGCGCTTCTCATCTAGTGGTGTGGTCAGGTTTTGGGTCCAAGGCCAAGTTGGACACTGGATACGATGACAACGATGCAGCCAGCCCTGAGCTTGAGCAAGATGTGAGCTCGAGAGGGGCCCGCAACTCTTTCTGACGGTACTCGTTAGTTCCGGGACCAACGGGCTGAACTTGCAAGGCAATTAGCTCGGAAGCAGGACGCAGATAGAATGCTTAGCGAGGCTAGGGCCAGACTAGAGAGCCTTCGAAGCAAGAGGAGGGACTTGGACAAAAGGGTATTACCTCCCTTTAGGGTCGGCACGTATTATATTCGTGTTGTAGTACACTGACGTGTCGGCGGCCCTGGAGGGTCAGCAGATGGCTGTATTATCGACTAAGAGACAGCTTGATGAGGCAGTGAAGGAGATCAACGATGTGAGGCAGTTGGCGATCCAGGAAGGTAGTACTGCTATCGGTGGGAGGGCTCGAGGGAGGAACTTCTGTTGCTTCAGGGGAGCCACTCGCGATGGACTCGGCTGATGTGGTGGCTGCGGTGCGGTCCGAGAAGGATAAAGTGAACAGTGCTGATGCTAAGATTCAGGACTTGCGGGGACAGATCGACAGAATCAACCGTCAGAAGGTGGGTCAGGGGCCATCACCAGTGTGGGAAAATATTCACATGCCCAACTACATGTGTTGGTGACAATATGAAGTTTCTGGGAATTCTTGTTGGTTCGGGTACACTTCTACCCGAGTTCATATATAAACTTCGCTAGTTAGTGAGGAAACGTCTGAGCTTGGCTGAGGAAACTGATTGTACAGGGTGTCCTAAAAATGTGCTTTTTTGAATAACTTTTCATTCGAACGGTTTTCCTACAAGAAGGTATTCAAAGAAAAACACTCGTCTTGGGGTGCCCTGTATATTCCTCATAACCAGGATTTCCGTAGTACGATGATTTCTGGACTTTAGCTTCTCATGGGGGCAGTTCAATAGGGACAAAAAACGGATGGCGTCAGTAGCTACCGCTTCGTGGCCACTTCCAACCCAACCTCAATACTCATTAGGGGCAGTTCATGTTGGTCAGGAGGATCTACAGTCGCAGAACGCAGTATGGCTGGAGAGGCAGAGACAAGCTGAGCAGGACAGGACTATGCTGATAGCAGCTCTGGAAAAGGAACGGGCAAACCTGGTGAGTCGATATAGAGTATCGGGGGTAGAGTCTACGTCCTTTGTAGGCATCAGTGAGGGCAGAAAGACTGCGGACTTGGGAGCAGCGACATGAGGTGTCCAAGGATATCACCTCGATCAGCGTAAAACAGTGGCAGGATACTACTGGTAGTGCGCCCAGGATACCAGACTCGTCTAAAGGGGTGGCAGCGAGCGGACAAGGTAATGACGATGATGGTGGTTTCTAATCAGTCTAGTGCTTGTTAGGAGCGGCTTATCAGTCCCCAGTAGATGCGAGGAAAGGAGTACCAGCAAAGCAGGCCTCTCCTGTGGTGACTGTGAGAAGGCTGGGTGACCCTATGGTGAGCACTGGATTCTATTTCGAATAGTCAATGGTTGGTTTCCTTCAGCAGCAACAAGGAGGAGCGAAAGGAGGGTGGACGACATTCGCATGAGGTGGTTTCGAGCTGTTACTTTTTCATCATCATCATCATTCACCAAGTACAGTTTACTCGATCGGGCCTTGAGTAGAGTGTTTTCTCAATTGAGCATGGCCATCAGTGTTCTCATCATATGTCTGCTACAGTAGCACCACAGCTGAATACATCTGATGAACTTATCGAGGCAGGCTTCTTCCCGACGGTTCCGATTGCTTATACGGACAAGGACGCGATCCTATACGCATTGGGAGTGGGCGCTACTGAGAGGAAATACGTCTATGAGAAGCATTCTGACTTTGCGGTTTTGCCAACACTCATTTTTGGTAAGTGTCGGGGAAGCACAGGCGTGGACCGCAGTAGGGTGGCGATCTCAGCGACGACATTCAAGGGGGCAGAGTCGGCTAGGACGCTACCCTTCCCACCGCCTCAATTGCTTATGGACTTGGACGTCTTCAAAGGTACTCGGCTGTCTGTTGACCAGCAGGACTAGTGCTGATCAGGGAAGGTGATAGTCGATGCTGAGCGCAGCATGGAGGTGCTCCGAGGGCCGTTGCCAGTGAGCGTCTCATTGGATGACCAGTGGGTGATGAAGACTAGGTTCACAGCAGTGACCCCCAAGAAGGCTGGGGTAAGGTCTTGGGCTTACTCATCCGTAATGGCTCCTTTCCTCAGCTCCTCGTGGAAACCGAAACTGTCATTGTGGATGAGCTCGCGGGTGATGAGTAAGCCTCGATCGTCTCAGGGGAGGGATCAGTGGTATTTGCACAGAGTCATGCGACTGACCAACTCGGTGTTCTTTCTGGGCAAGTCCGACTTGATTCCAGCTGGGGTGCCTACTACGACCAAGATTACCGTTCCTGAGCGGTCACCAGACTACACTAGGGTCGAACATACGAGTACAGTCCTCCTTGCATTCTGGGTGTAGTATTACCTTTCTTGTGGTAGGCCCTCACCAAGCAGATCTGTACAGGCTCAGTGGCGACTACAACCCTCTGCATGTCGATCCTGTAGCCGCTCAGGTGAGCGCTTTGTTCCAGTGGAGTGCCCATAAGTAAACTTGTTAGTCCTATGGTTTCGACCAACCCATCTTGCACGGGCTCTGCACACTGGGCTTTGCGGCTAGGCATGTCATCGACGCCTGTTTGGAAGGCGATGAAAAGCGTCTCCGCAGTGAGTGCGTAGTGTATGTACTCCTTATGAGCTCAATGGGCTTAGGTTTCCGCTGCCGTTTCACCAAGCCGGTCATACCGGGGGACCGTCTCAGGACTGAGATCTGGAAGGAGTCTGATGGTCGCGGAGTTTTGTTCAGGACTTGGGCGGAGCGATGCACGGTGGTGATTTTCTCGCGCTCTTATAAGCTCAGATGTCCATTGTGTTTTCAGGAAGGAAAGACTACTCCTGCTGAGCCTGTTGTAGTCCTAGATAGTGGAGTAGCGCAGTTTTTCGAATAGTGTCCTCGGGCACGCTTTGACTCATCCTCGAGATTTTTCTCAACTGTTTGTCAAGCCAGGTTTCTATCTCCTTACGGAAAGCAAGCAGTAGTACGTGTTCGTCAATCAGCAGCAGTGTGGTAAAATATGCACATTGTCAACCACATATGTTGGTGTCAAAATTCTGAGGAAATTTTGGGAAATTTTGGGAGATACTCAACTACTCTTCTACTTTTTACTCGGATTCGCATATGAACTTCTATAGAGGGAACTTCTAAGCTCAGTTGAGGAAAGCAAACATATATATTTCCACACTGATCGGGATTACTGCTGTGGTTTTCCCCGGGTCAACTGCAAGTAGCTCTGGATACGCTTAGTTGCCTAGTAGCATGACCATGGACCTCTCAATCGCTTCTATTGAGGAGGAGCTCACCGATCCGATCAAATCCGCTGCGGCGCCCCAGGAGGCTGTTAATGTGAAAGTGTGCTGCAGGTAGGGAGCAGGAAGTACGGCCTCGCCCCGATGGTGCTCCAGGTTCCGACCTATGAGTCGTCAGGAGCTCCAGATCACCGGTGGAGGTCGGAGCTGTGCACAGTTCCCCAGCCCTTCCTGTGTGACGATCAATCGGTATGGAAGTGGTATACTTTCAACTAGTCGAGCACGGTGTCGTTGACAGGTGTGTTGAAACTGAAGGAGGGACCTTTACTTTCGATAGGGTCTTCGACCCCGATTGCCCCCAAAGCGAAGTTTATGACTATGCCGCGAAGCCTATCATCAGAGGGGTCATGCAGGTGCTACTGGGGTCGGCCTGAAGGGGTTCCTATTGCAGTCTTTAGGGGTTCAACGGCACAGTGTTCGCCTATGGCCAAACAGCTAGCGGCAAGACGTACACAATGGAAGGGCCTGACCTCTACAGTGAGCGCGATATGGGCGTCATACCCCGTATGGTGAGTCTGCTATGAGGAGGGTGGGAAGGGGTGAGCCCTAGCTAGGTTGACACATTGTTCGAGGAGGCAGAGACGGCCCCTGAGGACATAGAGTATACTATTAGAATTAGCCTGGTGGAGATCTACAACGAGAGGATACGTGACCTGATGGGTAGGTAGTTGTAGGCGAGAGCAACGTGTTGTTAGTGTTGTTGGCTACTCAGACCTCTCTAAGGACCACTTGAAGATCAAGGAGGACCCGAGGAAGGGCATCTTTATCGCGGGGGTGACCGAGAGGTAGGTGGGAGGAGACGAGCATGTGGAGCCTTATCCGATCGCTGGTTGGTCAGATATATCAACAACAAGGAGTTGATATTTGAAATTCTCAAGGAAGGGCATGCAAATCGTAGCTGGGTATAGTACGTAACTGCTAGAGAAGTGGTCGTCGACAGGCACAGCAGCGGTGACCAACATGAACGAGCATTCCTCGAGATCACATCTGATTCTAATGCTGACCGCTACTGCTAAGAACGCCTCCGATGAGTCGGTGAAGGAAGGCTCTCTGCGCCTGGTTGACCTCGCTGGGTCGGAGAAAGTCTCCAAGACTGGTGAGGCTTCAGCTACCATCTTATCCATGGCGTTGGCCCCTAGGCGCTACCGGCAATCGGCTGGTCGAGGCTGGGAGCATCAATCGTTCCCTCTCTGCCCTGGGGAATGTCATCAACGCCCTCACTAGTCCTAGTGGCAATTCTGGTGACAAGTAAGAAGAGGACGGTTGCTTAGTCTTTGCAGCGAGGATGGTAGGAAGCACATACCCTATCGGGACTCCCGCCTCACTCGAGTGCTACAAGAGTCTCTCGGTGGCAACTCCAAGACCTGCATTATCCTCACGTGCAGTCCGAGCCAGGCGAACATCACGGAAACCGTATCGACCCTCAGGTTACATACGCGGGGCCTCGGTTGAGGAGGGCAAACAGGATCTCGGTGTAGGTTCGGGCAGCGGGCCAAGGCTATCAAGAATGTATGCCATGTTAACCAAAGGCGCTCAGTGGAGGAGCTGACGACGATGCTGGAGAAGAGCCAGGGCCTGGTTGTGAAGCATAGGCAGACTCTGATACGCTGCAAGAAGATTATCAAGCACCTCAAGGAGCGGTGCGTGCAGGCTGGCATTGACATAGGCGGCGGCGGCGGTGAGGGCAGCGGCAGCGGTCTTGAAGAAACATATGAAATCACAGGCATTGAATCAATCTCGATGGAGGCATCACCTACCACTACTACAGGATCTCACAAAGGCTCTCCCGAAGCTCAAAGTGAATCGAGTGAATACTGAACTAGTTGATAGTGTCCATGCAGATGCTGTGCCGCTGGCATCCATGCTGAGTACTTCTGTTCCTGACCTGGCCAAGGTCGAGGATACAAAGGTTCGAGAGCTCAAGGACCAGCTCGCTGACCAGGAGCTGGAGAATCGGGGGTTACGCGAGGTGCCCTTACGTTTATGAGGCTTAACTAATCGTAACTACTGTAGGAGATAGAAGAACAGGCGGCTAAGTTCGAGGAGCTCCGGTCGGAGATTGCTGCGGCACAGGAGGCTAAGGCTAGCTTGGAGTACCAGTTGCAGGAGGCCAACGATGCTCAGAATCAACTTGCCGTGAGGAGGGTGGTGGGTGCAGGGGAGCTCAAACGCTTGGCTGTAGCGTGAAGGAGATGAATCCCGTCGAGAAGTTGCTGTATTGCGTGAGAAGTTGGAAGTGGCTGAGAGTCTTCGAAAACAGCAAGAGGAAACGAGGGAGAGAGAACAGCCTGGAGTAAGGAGTGTTACTATGGTAGGCTTATACCGGTCTCTTGTTCGCAGTCACCGGTCAAGCCAGGAAGTGATGGCGAGCGGAGTAGAACAGGTAGCAGCAGCTTTGTACTCGGTACGGTCACTATTCCTCAGATGATAAGGCGCCGTCACTACGGCTGCTGGTCCAAGAATTGCAGACTACAAAGATGCTGCAGGTGAGGAACTAAGTCGGCAGAGAATCGCCGTTTATTGCGTGTTACTTAGGCGCAGCGCATTGATCGTTTGGAGCAGCTCCTCGAGCAAGCTGGTGAGTTCTCTTCCTGCCCGGTGGCCTGCCTTTGGTGATGGTGCTAGGCTCGAATGGGGGTGAGGGCGGGGCTGTTGATGGCCTCTTGTCGCGGCAAACGGAGGAACTCGAGCGTCGTATAGCAGAATTGGAAGGGCAGTTGAGTCAACAGATCTTACGGGTGACTGCTGTGTTGATCTATTGTGAATTGTCGCGAGGTTTTGGTTGTAATGGTAGCATAAAGAAGAGGAATGGATGATGAAACACAAGATGATACAGCTCGATAAGAACCTCAGTCAGCTCACCGACTTGCACCAGGCCAAGATTGCTCACAACGCTGACTTGCAGAAGGAACTATACGTATGTCTACCTGGCTACTCTCGTATAGCAGCAGTCTGTTGGTTCAGGAGAAGGAGAGAGCAACCAAGAGGAAGGATACCCGAATTAATCAACTGCAGGAGTCTTTGTCCGAGAGCAAGTCCAGATACGACAAGTTGCTTGTACAATGTCACAATATGACCAATGCCATGGATGTGAGTCATCAGGACTAACGAAATCTCATACGCCTTAGTGCTGCAGATTCTACAGAAGCGTTTTGGAGGATCCCTGGCCTTTGGTAGAGGTCAAGCAAAGGTGCCTTCATCACAATATGATGGCAGTGGCTCATCCAGGTCTCGCTGTCCTTTCTGTTGTATCCGTGACTCTGCTTGGTTCAGACGTATCGCTGCCAATATGGTTGTCCCCTTGGGGCGGCAGGGAGGCGGTGGACTTCCTCCTACTATCAACAGAGTAAGTATAGTAACACTACTATAGGCAAAGCCCATTCCATTTCAGACAACAACCGAGCCGAAGGATGAGATCATGGCACAATAACGTAGCGTTGCTGCAACAACTCCCTAGCATGTTACCGATACTAATATTCTCTAATGCCTGGTCATCTACTTTGCGTTTATTAGTAATACTTGTGAATACAAGCTGAAAACAGGAGCTCGCTCGAGAAAATTTCGTGCACAAAAATAACCTCATAAACAACTATCTCAATCTGGTGTTTAATCGGAAAGACGCGATTCACGAGACTCCGGGAAACTTTTCGATGTTAAGCTGGCCAGGGTATTAGAACATTCGGCGCACTATCGCTCCCCTCCGGAGATGTAAGGGAAGGAAGAAATTCAACCAGCTTCTTTGATATATCTTCCGCGTCTACCGGCAAAATACTGTAGACTAACGGAACACTGGTGCATTCGCCGCATTACGAGATATATGGCAATCATACGATCTGCTCTCGTTTACTCTACGCGAAGTCCCCAACAACACTAGGTAGCGAAGACAACTACTCCTACCCACCCCACTATCAATAACACAATAAAGCTCCTTCAGTCCTGACACTTCCTACTATGATAAGAATAGGGCCGTTGATCGTCCGGCAAGCACTAATGCTCGCCGAGATGACCACTCCCTATTCATTTACACCACGCGATGGGCGAGAGCATGCCCAAAATGCGCAACAGAAAAACTCAATGATGACATGTTTTCGCACCGCGATGAGCTTAGCAAAAGCTTAACGTCGACTAGGCATACATCATACCGCTCTCACGCTTCTTATTTGCTATGGACTCCTGAGCAACGATCTTGGTCCACCCAGGCTCATAAGCAGCTTCTATCTCAGCCTTCATCTTAGCAATAGCCTTGGCTGGGTCCAGACCTGTAGGGGCATGTCAGGGGCTCTCCTCGCCCAACTATCACTCACCCTTGGGACAACATGAGGTACAGTTCATGATACCGTGACAACGATACAGTCTCATAGAGTCGTTGATCCAGGCCATGCGCTCTGTTGTGAACTCATCCCTCGAGTCGGCAATCCATCTAGTAGCTAGTAATTCAGAGTCCAAGACCATGCTGACTCCCTCACCTGTATGCCTGCATGAGCACTGCCGGGCCGAGATAATACTCAGGGTTCCACCAATAAGATGGACACGAGGTCATGCAACAAGCACAGAGGATACATTCGTACCTGACTTTCAGGGGTGAACTCACATCCTATTCCGGAGAGATCTACATCCCATCCAACTTCTCTCTGTCTTCAATGCTCTGATAGTACTCTTTCTCACCAGGCTGCTTCGCACGTCTACGCTTGAGCCAGGGTTCAATGCTCTTATATTGGTTATAAAAATTGCTCAAGTCGGGAACCAAGTCCTTCAAGACGTACCTACGACCATTCCAACCATCGTCTCGTATGCGGAGATCAGTCCATCACGTGTGGGGGAGGGGCTGGATGTCGATGGGAGCTGGGCCAGGCTCGATATACTGCAGGCAGGCAAGGCCATTCTTCCCATTGATGTTCATAGCGCAAGATCCACAAATGCCCTCTCGACATGAACGCCTAAAGGGAGTCAACTAAGCGATAGAAAAGCAATAGCGAGGTCTTGCCGGAAAGCCAGAGTGGAGTCGTGAGTGTCTTTGATTTTGATGAGAGCGTCCAAAATCATCGGACCACACTGAGCCAAGTCAATGTTAAACTCCTGAAATCAAAAGTAGAGCTTCCGAGCACTTCTTCCCAGGCAGGCATACCTGCATGTGTGGTTTGTCTTGCGTGAGAGGATCGTAACGATAAACTCTGAAGGTCTGCATCCTGGAGGCAGCTGAGGCAAAGCATCGACGGGAGGTGATGGGCCAGACGCGAGAAAGCATTGTAAGGGAACTCCTATTAGCACTGGGAGAAGCGTTTGATATTCAACCTTGAAATTGCCGAAACTCAGTCCACTCGGGGAACTACTGCCCGACGCAGATTAATAGGGAACGAACGTAAATGCGTTGAACAGAATCGATCACCAGGGCGGGCGCGAAAGTACCGGCTGCTGGTTGAACAGGGTGTAACAAATTGTAACGATGCTTATAGTTGGCCTTAGTGAGTACGTGTAACAAGCCAAGTTGTGCAGGATTGTGGTGGAAACTGATTGAATTAGAATCCGATGAAAGGGAGCACAATGTTACACAAGAGTTAGATCTAGGCTACTTCGACAACTAGCCTGCAGCAGCCTCGGCGTTGTCTTCTATCGTTGTAACCGTGGAGGGAGGCGGGGAGGAGGACAGGGAAACTCGCCGACGTTGGTACTCAGCCTGCTGACGCTGCAGATGCCTGAGGGGAGCAGGGAGGTGGCAAAAGACTCGACTCGGCATGGTGTACTCCGGTCGCATAGCAATCGATCTCATAATACTTCCAGGAGGCTCGGGTGTGACCTCTAGGGTGAACAGGCTGATGGTGGCACCTGTCAGGATGAAAATCGTCAAATATCTCCCCAATTCGAGGCTATGAACCAGTCCAGGCAGGCGCTCGAATAGCTGCCTTGATGAGCTCATCGCGAGTCCGACGGGCAGCTCGATTGGTCCTCGGTGATTCCGAACTCCTGGCGGCCTAAGATAGGGAAAGGCGACCTCAACAGTGACCGACTGCAGACATCACAATAGGCCATCGTAGCTGTATTGTGTCAGCGTCCCCATTATCCGTTTCCAATAACATCTTCAATATACGTGGCCTGGAAGATGGGCAACGCGGAAGCCACGATGTACGCTCATCGGCTCACCTGCAGGCTGTGATGACCCTTGGGTGGATGCGCAGCACTCCCGGTTCGTCTACTATCAATTGCAGGATCGCAGCATCATTGGTTACGCGATCGCAGTAGTTGATGCACGACATGACGGTGAGGAGGCGAGCACCTAGTACATTGAGCTGTTCACTGATAACAAACAGTGGACGAGCTACCCCAGGTAGACCCAACGCCCGTTGGTGGGATCTCCCCTCGCGCTCTGACCACCATCGCCACTCGATTGCTCTTCATTAGAGCCTTGGTGTTCACTGGCGCGGTGTCCTCATAGGCGCCACTCGTCGGAGGGTTAAGGCTAGCAAGAGTTCAGTACGAAGGATGCAGCGATTGTTGTGTCTACATTTCTGAGACTATCCTGCTTGAGATCCTCTCCGAAGGCTGCCCTGTGGAAGGCGGTGCCCTCAATGGGCGCTTCAGCTTCTTCAGTGGCTGAGAGCGACACTACTACCCCCCACTGAGAGTGAGCTACCTCTAACACTGTCAAGGACGACGGCACGGAGCCATGGACGCACAGGACGCGTCCTTCTATGAGCACCGCCAAGGGTAAACACTCGAAACATTCTGAGGAAAACCCAACATCGCTATGAAGAGATACACTATCCTACGGTTGGCCAATTTCCATATTCTCCTGCCCTCGTCGCCCAGACGTTCCTCGCATTCGGCAAGGAAGTGGAGATTGGAAGGCTCAGCCTCATGCTTCCCCCTCAGTAACGTGATCGCACCTGAGAGCAACAGACATTCATAGTGAGTAGGAATCGCACAGCCTCACTAGGGTAGAGTATCTTGAGACTCAAGACGAGAGCGAGGGTGTCTAGATTGCACCAACCTGGGCCAATGTAATCTCCTGAGACAGGCAGAATCAGAGAAGTAGAAACCGATATGCTAACCTAAGAAAACATAGTTGGTGTAGAGGATGTCCCCGGTGATGGAATCCGGGGGGAGGAAGGTACGGAATAGGCTCAGTAGGTCTAGGAGCTGCCCATTGATGCCTCCGAAAATTTTAGCTGGGGCTGATACGTTCTCCAAAAGAGAGCTGCGGAAGGAACCTTAATAGCAACGCATAAAGGAGGTCACTGTGGCTTTAGCAATGCTGTCACCATCCGAGAGTAAGATACGTGAGGCCACGCGGAGGATAAGAGTGAGATCATCAACAGATGCGAACTGATCGAGAGCTCCCAGTCTCCGACGTCCGTCATCACGATGAGCGTCCTGCACATACGTTACATACCTGGAAGTGATCCATCAGAATAAGGAAGATCTCATCCTCCTACCATTCCGGCGACACCTCGTAAAGGCATTTCTGGACAAACTTCTTGGCTGCGGCACGGCCCTGCTTTACGAGGTCTTCGCCTACCGTCGCGGCGTCGAACATCGGCCAAGTCAATGTAGGACTATTTTTCTCCGCTGAAGATCGAAACTTAGTCATCATTTCATTATGCAGACCCTACTAGTCACCCCTTCGACGGGATCGGCTGGGGTTGCTGAGCAAAGATCTGGTGGGGGAAGACAACCAACCGGCTTGTCCTCCTCACCGAAACCCTCGCCACCTGCATGCTTCATTGGGGACTCCGCACGAAGCGACCGCCTACCTGGTGCTGATGTGACAAACGCATTCGCAGAGACGTCGGAGGCGAGAAGCTGTTGGTAGAGGGGGGATCGAGTCACCGAGTTGCACACTACTTCAACTGATGCATCGTGGAGGAAATTAGCCAGCGAGTCGTCATGCTTTATATCTGCGCTAAAGGTCTTCAAGCCCCCGGTACGTGGACACCTCCCAGACCTTCGAGCCGAAGGCTTGATGTCTGCGCCGGGAGCCCTCCTTTCTCTGGATCGGATGCATCGCTATCATCACCCGCCAATGGATGGGTTCGCGGAGTGCTAGGTCGAGATCGGACAGTCTGGTTAAGGCGAACGAGGTTGGATTGGACAGAAGCAGCCCGTTACCATCGGTGTTTCGAGTGCAGGGTTAGCCTTGAGGGAATCACTTTTCCTCCGTGATCGAAAGAGAGAAGCATTGAATCTGTCACTTCTAGAACACGGCTCGTAGCATCAAACCAACGCACCTAAAGAGGCGGCTGGTGCCTCTCAGCTTCTCGCTCTGTATGCACTCGTAGAAGGTCTTGAACTTGACACAAGTCTGATGAAGTTGGATCTTGAATCCGTTGAGTTTTTTCGCTTACAAAATGTAGGAGGTTGCCGGCATCACCGAGCATTCCCAGCTCCTTAGCTTTACTTATGGCAGCGGTGCGGACCTTAGAAAGATACCACATGTCGGGGCTCTAGGTCTCACTTTCTCGTTCGTTGGATCGTTAGTCTTCATGGATGCGCAGTCTGCTATCAATCTGGCAAACTCCGTGAATTCCAAAGTGTTGCTCCGGTTATTGTCGTAATAGTCGAAAATATACTGACCGCGTTCGTACCTCGTATAGTGATTTTTATTTTCGCAATAATGGTTACGCGGACGCTTTACCCCGAGAAACTGTTGAGGATGTGAACCATGTTTGGATCTGCTGCACACACCCCCTTTAGGAACTCGTCAAAGTCTAAAACACCGTCCTTGCTGCGATCGATCGCGAAGAAGAAGGCCTCGTACCTGGCTTATCGTTCTGTTAACGATCCGAATACTGTGCTTACTTCGCAGGATTATTAACGACATTGTAGTAGTCTAACATGCGAACGAAGTCCTCCAGGAAAAGTACTTCGGTGTGTTGTACGTGGGTTTGCAACTGCTTGCTTGTATTACTGACTCTCGTTGAGAACTGTGAGAATAGCCTGAGGGGATGTTACTTACCAACGGTGCAGCAAGTTACCACACCGTCAGACACTGTGATAAATCTATACATTTCAGAGGCCTATTTCGCCGTCAGTGAGAGCGATTCAATCGGGTGGGGCACCTATGCCATGACCTCAAGATGTGTCTTATTACGTTCAATTTCGCAAGGCACGTGATGGGAAGATCAAGTTCGATGACCGATGTAACTCGGAGTCTTGACCAATTGGAAGAATCAACTTAGCTGTTTGCATACTTGGGGCAGCTATGCCACATCTAGAACGGCGCCCGTGCTGCAACCATCATGGGAATGCAAGATTCACAAGACCTCTCGCCATCAAAAAACGACAATAATTCGCGCCGCATTTAAGTTACGGGATGGCATATCTGCCCCAAGCGGAATCGATTCCCACAATCGGTCCAGAGCGGAGTTGATTTTCTCGTGCCGACAAATTGATCTCCCTATCGCACGCTACCGGGGAGTTGTACCAAGGCATATCTTGGTGTTATGGCATAGCCCATATTTCACTGTAGACGAAATGCGCTTTTAAACGGTGCATTCAAATGCATTACATTCACTGTTTAATTGATGAGCCATATATCAGGGATTCGACTCACTTCCGAAGCTCATTTCTCTCGGCATCGCCTATTTTGGCCTCTTCAAAGAAGTTCTTGCTACTACTATTAGGTAACTCTACCAGAGGAGAGTGCGAATCTAAGACAACATGGTTAGTGACAATTTCCACAGCGGGTTACTTCGACTCTCGATCCGGCGACTCGATAACCTGGAGGATACCAACAAGGACTCTGACGCACTCGCCATAAGACACTGCAGACTGCCGCAGGTGTGTCCGATTTTCTCGCAGTAGTGGATCTGGGCGAGCGCTTGATTTTAGCGTATCGCGCACGCCTAGTTTTGTTCAAACCACAATTCCTCGATCAGCATCGTTGAAATTCCGGTCCACATGGATGAATGTGTTAGATCCCGTCATTACGAACATCAGCTCGATGGTAGATTATTGCGTACCTTTTTTTCTCATCTTGCCTGCTTCACCTCACTTGCTGCTGCTGTTCGTAGCGGCGCGGTTTTTGTCCCATGGTCAAGGGCTGGCCCACACTGAAGTAGGATCTCTATCTAACCATGCTGATGCCGCTATTGTAAGAGGCTGTTGTGGCTCAGGTTGCGCCGGCAGCACATTGTGTCCAGGACAGTCAGGGGACGGATCGAGGAACAGCAGGACCCGAGCTGCTCACTGTGAGTTTGTTGATGTTTTCCTCTATCAAACGTATTCGTTTGGCTCCGTGTTTGGTGAAGAGAGGTTGGTCCGGTGTGTTCCCTCGTGGACTCGACTCGTACTTGTTAGGTCTACGTGCCTTCTTCGGACACAGTGCTACACCTTGATCCCCAGACGTCAAAAATTGATGATATTCTATCGTCCAAAGAAGTCGATACAATAGATGAGAGTTTTATGATCGCTACACCGAAATCGGGGATGATATGTAAATTATAATCCTTTATGTGATTGGTTTTGTATCATCGCTCCGTAGATTTATCCGACTTGGACCCTCGACTGCCGCTTAGTGAAATCGGTTTCCTCGAAGGCCATGCAACGGTCATCATGAGCGATCATCTTGTAAATGATATCACAGTTCACAGTTCTGATGAGCCCCCAACAGTAGCAAGAGTCCCTTTATTTTGTCTGCCTGGGACCAACCTTATCTGGCACTGGTGTGTGCGACATGCTTTAGCGGAAGCTAGAGAGAAACCTATTGCTGGTTTTATGGTGGAAAACAAAACCGTATTGGATCTTCTTGATCCCGAAGCCGATCTTCTACGTATGTGGAATGGTGATGCCGGACCTCTGAAGGTCATATGGGGTGAACCGTACGAGTTGCCTGCTGTTTGACATTCGTGATTTGAGACGTGTATGTATTGATTCATTGACTTGACCTCGCGACATGCTACAAGGCGAGGAGCGCTACTGTATCATTCGTACGAACCCCCAGGCCTACCATTCAAAAGAGATACCGGTACGACATTCGTGTTGGTTGTGGTTGCAGGCTGTCTCTAGACTTGCGTTGAACATCATTGGATGATAGTATCTTCGAAGTTACTCAGATCTTCAACTTTTCATGATGAGCCTTACGTCGAACCGGCAGTCTCCAACAGTAATACACTCTCTACACCATTTCAAGACCAAATTAGTAGGGGCCGCCTCGTGAGCGTCAAAAACAGTCATATCTTTCTCCAGGCGTCGCGAAAAGGGTTCAACTTTGGCTTGCCTATTAATCATGATGTTGGCCGTATTTTCAACCCCGATTCTCCCCTAACACCGACCTCTTTCTACTCAAGAGTGCTCGCAAGGTTTTGAAACATCCTTTACCGCCTCCCTGCTCCGGAATAGCATGGGGAGCTGATGGACAGTAGTAGTAGTAGTAGTAGTAGTAGTAGTAGTAGTAGTGCATAGCTTGGGTGGGTCTTCTATCACCTCTGGTCTGTGATTTGTCATGACACCCTATTCGAAGTTTCTAATGGGCATTTGAAAGGGTTGAGCTGAAACAGTGGATCAGCGCTTAATAACCTAACAAAGGGAGTTGCAAGTCTACAGAAACATCATCTCAATTGCCCTCCTGCTCAGCAGTTGGGTGAGGCGGCTAGCGCCCGTGAGTCATAGAAGCATATCTTGCTGTTGATCTATTGAAGAGATATACTTGTTAGAAGGCCCGCTGGGGTTAGGCACTGTGAGAGATATAAGGAAGGATGATGTCGGCCGCCCACCTATCATTGACTCGATCGCGCTCCTAGTGCTGAGTACTCGAAGCATCTATAGAAGTGCGGAATGGTCAGTTCGGGTTATTTAATCATCCATCACCACGCCTGCTTCTTAGAATGAACTCCTTATGGGAAAAGTTGCTAGCTGCCGATGATGCGGCGAATGAGCCGAGAGGGTTGGAAAGATGGGCATAGTGTCATCATCTTTCTACTGCTGCCCTTTGGCTACAGGGTACTGAAACGGATCTGTCGAGGATGACCACAGTGCTCGCTGAAACCAAGCAGAGTACACTCGGCAGTGTTGGAGCCGCTTGGTGTTGCTGCTCATCGTATGTGTGGTTATGTCTTTGAACAGTAAGAAGTGGGAGGAGTCCTATAAGTGACAGGGATAGACGCTACAGTGAAGGTTATAAGGGCAGCATGGAAGGTGATAAAGGCCAGTCTCTGTAGGCTTGTTGGTTGTGCATAGGCAGTCCACTGAGCTCTTCGTGTACTCTCCTTAGTGGTCATGGATAGCCTAACACCGTTGTGCATATGAGACGTGTTGTTGGGTTGAGCAGTTTGTTCGATACGAAGGACACACAGATTTTCAAATCCACTTTGTTCATGCCTTCATCATCAGCAGCAGTGACCCCAGTCGTAGAGGAGAGAATCTCATCCCTTTTGGAGACCGCCCTGTCCTCAGTAGAAGCAGCCAAGGAGTTCTATGCCTTCGTCATGTCCGGCGAGGTCAGGGATGAAACCTTCAGTGAAAGGGTTTACAAGTAGGCATGTGGCCATGACTCGATTCCGCGATGGTCTTCCTACTTTCAGATCTTTGCGGAATTTCATGTTGGCGTTGTTATCGATCAAGGAGCCCGCGAGATATACGGACCTTGTACCGCTTCACTACTGCCGGGCCGCACTAATAGCCGTACTCGACTGCCCTGAATGCGTCTATGTTGCGCTAGCCTCCCATCTGGACAGTGCAGTGCTTATAGCACTGGTCAAGCGCTGCAGTGGCTCTGCCAGTACAGAGGCTAAGGAATCCATGCTCGTTGCTACTGTGGATATGGACACTAGAAAGGTGAGGTTGATGGTGCTCTCAGTGTCACCGACGGCCTTCAGACTGACCCGATACCATCCCATGGTGGCGATGCTTGGTTTGTCGAGTCTCTTCTCCATCGCTTGTACGAGAAGTGAGCGTGCTTGGTCACCCTAGCATAGTCGTATTGGCTGCTTCCGCACAGATGCCCATCCCTTCGTCCTCAACTACGACTACTTGTTGGTGAGGAGCTCGTCGCCTTTGTCCAGTGCCCTCAGAAGAATGCGGACATCAAACCCTTGGTGTCCCTTTTGGGTCGAGTAAGCTGATACCCAGTGTAGCCAAGTCGACGAGCATTCTCTCACAGATCATTGGAGGCTTCCAAACTCCACTCAACTCTACTCACCTCAGCCTGCTCTACAATGTCATACTGCCTCTCCACATGCCCAATGGGTTCGCCTCTTGGGACAGGCAAACACCTCTCCTTAAAGGGTGGGTCCTCACGTTGATGGGTGACTTACAAGGATTCTGGGGAGTAGGTACCATCGAGAGCTTACTCAATGTGTAGTCATCTACCTCGATAAGCAACCCGAATTATTCCCGAAGATCATGGATGGTGTTTTCACGGCACTCCCACCGCCGGCCCGAGTAAATATCCCCGCTAGTGTGTTGTGCTATCTCCCTCTGCATTCAGGGGAATACCGCCAAGGAGCTTCTCCTCCTCGCAGAAATCGCGCGACTTCTACAAGGCGTCAGTGTTGATAATTTCAACAAGATTGATAAGCAGCTGCGCACGGTGGTAAAGAATCGTGTAAGGGTAAGTCACCTCATAATAATAATCCTACCTGGCCATCCTTGACCTTTCCTCCAGAGCCCCAATAGTCAACTAGCTGAATCGATACTGTCATTGTGGCGTGACAGTCACTTTAGCAGTGAGCTGGCGATCTCCGACGACTGGGTGTCTACAATGGTGCCTCTTCTTTTCAGTGGAGGCCACTTGCATTGGAATCCGACGGTGATTTCCCTCATCTCTTGCCTGCTGAGTTACTAGTCTCGGTATCAGGTTAATAAAATGATAGCCAACGTCCTCGCGGAGTTGGAGAGGGTGAATCCATCAGCATTCCAGAAAGCAGCAACTGCCACCGTCCAAGCAGCCCGCGAAGCGAAACGGCAGAGTGAAAAAGACGAGGCAACACGGAGGGCTGTAGAGGCGAGGCTTAAGGGAAATCGAGGTGAGTCTTTGATGCGGTCCGTCAGTCCTCACTCGTGGTCCCTCAGTTCCCGTGCCCTCAGCAGTGCCGAAGCCTCCGAGCCTCGCCCAAATGTCCTCGATCGGCCGCTCGCGTGGTAGCGGGAGTCAACCTCCTGTAACTATTACTGGAGTGGCGCCATGGGGACCCGAACCCAAGGCTCGAGCTCCGCCCAAGGAGGACGATGTTCTCGATGGGGATAGTGGTAGGCATCTACTGTGGGCATCCACTCGGGCAACTCCTGCTTTTGTCAGATCCTGTGACTGTCCTTCACCGTTTTTGTGAGAACTGCGAGCCTCACGAGGGGGCTCAAAAAGAGAAGGTATGTCTGCGACTGTAATAGAGGTGACTCAATTCAGGACTATAGGTTTGGGAAGAAGCTCTCACAGCGCCGAGCCCGACCATTCTGACCACTCTCAAGTTTCACCAGATGGTCCGGGCGCGCGAGATAGGGTATGCTCCTGCGGCCTGTGGGATATTAACGTTATTACTTACTTCTCAGGAGCGGAGCCTTCTCGACGGTTTTGCTATATTTGGTGACACAGAAGGGTAAGGTTCGCTCGGAGTGGCCCGAATATGCTGTTAAAGTGAGCTCCTACCATCCTAGGTGTTCCTCTGCACTACTTGCTAGGTAATTCATCCCGACATACTGGCCAAATACAGTCAGAACATTTCAAGAGAGATCGCCATTCTTCGCCTGATGCCCCATCCAGGTACGTTGGGGCTTCGCCCTCTTTGGATATAAGGCGGCTTTCTCAGGCATAACCCGTCTGGTGTCCGCTTTCATGTACCACAATGAGTGCTATCTAGTACTTGAATATGCTGCCAATGGTGATATGTAGGTGTCTCATAAGGGGTCGCAGCGGGTCAACGCATTATCCCTCTCAGGTTTGACTACCTCCAGGCCCACCCGTCGGGGCTCAGTGAGGGCGAGGCAAAGAGAGCCCTTGGGGAAGTACTTGCCGCTCTGGACAGCATTCATCAGCAGGGTTTCGTGTAGATAGATCGAGAGTGATGGAGGTCTGCAGTTGGAGTGCCTTTCAGTTACGTTGATATGAAGCCAGAGAATATAGTCATCACGTCTACGAGACACATAAAGTTGACGGACTTCGGGGGCGCGAGGCCGTATACGACACAGGCAGAAAGAGAAGTTGAGAAGAGTCGTCACGCTGTTCAAGAGCTCCGCAGCGGCGACTGGAGATATGATGGGTGAGGCTTATCCTGCCGTCCTCATTAGAAATGTTTATATTCAGTTCTGATCATAATCGTAACAACAGCGAATCGGAGGCAGACCATGCCGATGAGAGCGAGCTGGACCCAACTAAGATGGAGGGAACCACTGTAAGTTCCGTTGTGTGCTGGAGTACTTTTCACAACTTCCAGATTTACATGGCCCCTGAGCTTCTCCGAGGACGGTATCCGAGCGTCGCCTCTGATATGTGGGCATATGGTGTTGTGATGTACCAATTACTGACTGGGAGACCTCCTGAATGGGCCGATGCTGCAGCAGAGTCGGAGATAGAAGACAAGTACACTATGATGATGTCAATCCCAAAGCTTAATCATTCATCACTTAGAATTGTCCATTTTGGAGGTGCGGACGCTGCCAGTGACGAAAGGCTTGCCGGCCTTAGCTGTGATGCTCAAGTGAGCTCCTCTGCTCCTCTGGACTTTATATATATATTTCCCTGCCTTGTCTCCCAGGACTTGATAAAGAAACTATTGAATCCAAACCCTGATCTTCGCCCCACTATTGAAGAGGTTATGAGCCATCCGTGGTTCGAAGGTAGGTTTAGTACGATCACATTTCGGGCATTCGTGTTGAGGCTATCCTCCATCAGGTATGAATGTCGGTGATTTGTACCTGCAACCTGTTCCTGAAGGCTTCTTCTCACCAGTGGAGAAGGCTCAAACTGTAAGCACTCGCGCTGTTGATATTGTAGTTTGTTCATAGAAAACTTTTCAGGAGGTTGACAGTAGATGGTCTAAGAGGCAGCTATCGAAGGTGTGGAGTGCCCAGCCTAATCCACAGGATTATAGATTCGACCAACAGCCTGCGACCAATTCTGCAGGGATCCCCACCACTCCCATTGTTGAATCCGAGGAACGCGGGAGTCCGTTTCTGCACGCTAAGACCCGTGGAATGCCGCCTGTACATCCCCTATGATTTATTTATGCCATATGCCGGTTGTCTCAGTTTGAGATGTGCTTCTGATTACAATGCCGTGTTGTGCTACAATTCACTCGTGACCTCTTGAATTCGTGGTATCGATCGTAGTGAAATTGCAACTCAGTTCCTGCCAGTTAAAACTTCGAAATCGACCCCACCGGTGTACTGATTGATAATACGCATTAGTTGACCGTTAGGTCTCCTACAATTTACTCGTGACAAAATCGTCAAGACATACTAGAAGCCGACGAGAGGTCACTATTGTATGTATAACTTACCACATGTTTTACTCAGTGCAAGTGGGTTTCAATCCACGACGATCATGCACAAGGATAGATTATTCACTCAATCTTCAATGCATACGAATCACACACCACAGACAAGCCAGGGGCTGAAGCCTCACGTCACCATCTGGTCATCGTCAGTGGCGGCAGATCTGAGAAATGAGCCGCAGCATCTGTAATGGACGTAGTGAGACTGCCAGAGGTTACTACGACGAAAAATGACCAGCTGGAATCACAAGCAGCCGTTTCCCTGTATCAAATGGTACCAACTCAACTGCTGAGGACCGAGAGAGACATGACCACCCTCATCATCATGATTCAAACACCCTTCATCCCGATACGGAGCTTGAGGTCTCTCTCACGCTCTGTCAGTGCTACTAGGAGTCTCTGAAGATACGATCAATGCCGTTATACCTCTGATGGAGCCCACCTGTAGGAAACTCCGATCCAGGAGCGGTGTAGAACGCCCCGTAGACGCCTGCAGGAGAGCTGAGCCTGCTGGAGGCGTGGGGACAGTCATCACGGCAGTCGATCGAGAGTGATGGGATCGGTAACCATGCTGCACTGATTGTATAGGAGGCGAGAAGCGATACTGTTGTTCGCCCACCCAGACCGACAGGGCCGTTACAGCCGCTCGCAGGTGACGGTGCAGGGCTCGCTCCAGTAGAGCATGGAGACGTGCCACGCCCACTGCCATCTCTGATTCATACATCGCCGAGAAGAGGTGATGAAGTTTTGGTATTTTTTCTAAACCTACAGTCGTAGATGCTTCGCATGGCTTACTCAGCGTCTCACCACTCCCTTGCCCTGTCAGCAACTGCAATCGAGTCATAGCAGCAGAAAGCCTGGACTTCACCTGATATCAGAGACACTACGGAGGAGGCGCCAGACGACCTCCTGCCTACATACAACGACAAGGAGGGCGCATCTCAGGTGATAACATCCCCGCTCTCTGGCACTGAACCACTGTAGTAGCTCGAAACTGCGACGAGGCCCCACTCAGCGACCCCTGTAGAGGCTGCAAACCCTACTCGAATTCCCTCAGCTTACGCCAGGCCCGCTCCTTCAATGCCTCCTTGGCTCCTCCCAGTAGCTCTTGAAGCCGTCCAATACCATACCCCACGCTCATCGCCTCTGAAGGCAGTTGAGTAACGGCAAGTGGCAAGGGCAGGTGTACTACGTTTGATGCGTCTGGTCAAATCATCGTGGTCTACAGTAACCACCCTCGACGACCCTCGACGATCCCACCTCATTGAATCAGGTGCCATGGAGCGTCTCCGTACCTCTGGTGCCCTACCAAGCTCACTAGAGACCTCCGAGATCCGCCCAGCCAAGGCTAGGAGGGATGGTCGCCTCCCAAAGGCCGATACGCCCCCCATAGTCGACTCGGGCGACTCGGTACCACTTCCCACTCTCTCCTGGGAGGCTGTGAGCACATCGTCATCACTTTCTGCAATTTTGCTGGACTCTATACCAGTCTCGCCTGGAGTACTATATTCCTCCCTAACAGGTTCCTCCTCGATATTCGAAGGCTCTTCATCTTCGTTCCCATCATTCGTCCCCAAGTCCTTTCCAGATTCTAATGAGAGACTTCCCCGTTTCCCTAACTGGTCCTCTATTTTGGCCAGTAGACTCTCAGACACCCTTCGCCGGACACGCTCGCTACTCATGAGAGCACTACTCCTCCTCATAGCAGTATTGACTCAAACACAAGCCCGTCGGGTAGCACATACAGGACCATAAGGCAACTTGTTGGAGCATGAGAGGAAGCATCATTACGCATGGAGAACTACCATGAGCACTAGCCTATGAGCACTCAAGTGAAGGGCGTATAGAGCCAGTCGTTGCCACCACCGGCCTCTGGTATCGACAACAACAATGGCTTGTCTAAGGATTACACAACAGTGCCAGGAGCACAACAGGAATGCACAATGCTCACATCCAACAGTTCCGGCTGCTGACATAATCGCTTGCTGTAGGGATATCAGCGAGGTCTCAAGGTTGAACATTTCTCGCCCTAACCTTACCACACCAATCTGACATCAATAGCGACATGGTGAAACCGTCAAAGCTGACTGCGGCCTTCCTTACGTTGTGTGTATTCAATGTCGATCGAGTTTCATCCCCCCACCTGAGCAGTCGTGCTTGAGCCCGGTCAACTGAAGGGAAGAGGAGGCGTCGGGAACACAAAGGGTTGATGGATCTTCTCACGATTCACTGTTTGGTCCAATACGAACTTGCTCCATTTGTCCATATTCAACAACCATGCATCAAGACTACTTATTCTGTCATTGAACTTCAACTGAAGAGGTTGGAATCACACCGCATCGGGATTTCACTGGGGTACTATCACTACCAGGTCCAGTTTCACCCTCCTCTTCACTTTATTAGCAATAGCCTATAACGATGACACAATTGAGTCCGCACTGCTCTGTTACCATAATACTTACAACATCATCATTAACTTGTTCGGCCCCTGATATCATACCTCGTAGTAGATTATTCAGCTCCACTGAAACCTCGTTATTGGAAACCTGCCCAACAGCCCTTCACTCTACCCCATGCTCCGACTCACCAAACAAGCCTGTCGATTTTTCTCGTTGTTCTCCTGTTGTGTCCGAGTCGACTGTATATTGTAATGCGTTCGATTCAACTACCAAGACTACCGCGGTGAACCCAACCACGACCGACAAGTATATACGCCACCATCACCTCATCCCAGTGCCCCGTCTCAATCCTCCGCACACCATGGAGCTGCGTCCTTATCGACCCTTCAATGGTGTCCAACCGCGTCGCCATACTGTTCCTGGGTTCAACAGAGCTACATCAGTAGGGGTTCACGCTACCGCCCTACCCGCTCTTCGCCAGTCGCTCAGCAGTCATGAGCACCGGCCCAGTGGTATTAGACCCAGCAGGGTCAGGCTGCACACTTAGGGACAGCTGACTGTTTGATATCGTATTGACGAGATCATGGAGGACGGCCCTAGAATGATGAGAGGTGGTCAGGTGGCATTGGATGAGGGTGAGTATGATCATCATTACACATCATCTCCTCTTCTAGTCTTGCTTGCGGAAAGGGCTACTACCCCTTGTGCTGTGAGGAGGCATAGGCTAGTCAGACACGTGGACACTCGATGGCATCTTCTTACGGCCTCAGACCTACTCACGGGCATATAAAAGTAATGGCTGTGGAAACAAGCTCGGCAGTTAGTTTCATCCAATAACACAGGATTGGGCTATGCAGGAAACATCAGCGAGAGAGGTTCATCAAAGAGAGCATGAAGGAGTGTCGGACCATTTACACGTCAGATGTCCTTGGTTGGAAAGGAGTGCACCACCATCACCACCATCTGGTGGCATCTGAAGATCAGGCTCGCCTGGATATACTCTATCCATTTTAATGGGGGCAGGTCGCCGACACATGTTTCCACTCCATAGTACCTCGGGAGCGCTGCATGCCCACCTCCTACTCAAGTTGTATCCTCTTCACTGGTACTGATGGTAGCATCGCAGGAACGAAGCGTTGAGGCCGGCAGCAAGGATACTCCTACCGAGAGCCGCAGTTTATGCTTCGCCAGCCGTTCCCCGACTAATAGGCACCCGAAGGGCTCCTTCAGTACTATCATGCATAGTACTCCGTAACCCTAAACCTCCCCCTTCCAGTAGGCCCATCGAGGGCTTTGACAACACCACCAACAATGAGGAGAAACATTGGAAAGGTAGTCACGTCGCAATCAGGGCTGATCGGGAGCATTCTTCATAGTAATGTCACCTCCTTCAAGACTCGAGGCCTTTGTATGGTCCATCTCCTTCTCCTTTAATGGACCCTAACAGAATGTTACTGGATGATGGCCCTACCAACTCGATGCCAGCTCACATGTTTGAGTTCCTTAGCTGCCTCTAGTATCGTAGCAACCCTCTGTTTCCGCCATTCTAATACAGAGTCCAATGCCGCCCTCCGCTTCCTCATAGCCTCCAAGTTAGCCTCAGCGGTAGCTATAGACCTTATACAGACAGTTACGAGAGAGGATAACGAAGGTGGGGTACGTCTCAAGATCAGTCCGATCCCTTTTCTTGTTGATGATAGCAGCTGTAGCATCCTGGTCCTGAAAGATGCTACGTGACCAACCATGACGAGTTATAATACATCTATCCACTCCATTTCGGGGCGAGCGAGGCCATCCTACTACCAGTTTCCGTTTGCGAGAAGCCCTAGCCTCTTTCAATCGAGCATCCAATTTGCCATCACCCAACAGCCCATTCAACCGTTCCTCTGCCTCTTTCTCCTCTCTCGTAGCCTCCTTATTAATGTACTCCAACGTCTGCGGGACCTAATGCGGCGTCCCATACACACCTCATAGGGCATGCTACTCTTACAGTGACTGTATGATGAGCCCTAGGCACATCAACATCCTTAAGCCGATACGTCTCTATAGACCGTAGGGCTTCTGCCAAGGTCTCGGCCTTCACCTACGCCACGACCAATAAGCCCTGCCGCACGATAGCGGGCCCATTACTTCAGCTCCGTCCTTAACACCGTAAGCGTATTTACAAACTGCTCGAATCATCGCTTGGCAGTTTACTTCGACCATATCGGTCTTCATCTACTTGGTAGCGATGAAGGGCCCCTTTCAGCCGGCGGCCCTCTCTCCTACCTTGACAGCCTCATGTATGGCTGTATCCAACGCTAAAGCCTGTGGAGTCGACACAGTACTAGTACTACGCCGAGCAGGGACCTTGGCAGTTGATATTGTGGTTGCTGACAAACGAAGACACTCCGATATTTGCGTTTCTCCTTCCGTGTAGTACGTCCTCCTCCACGACCAAGAGCAGGAGGTGGCTTGATACGGCTCAAGGGCTCTGCCGCATCCTTTCGAGCGATTGGCTCTCGACTGCCTGCAACTACTGAGACATGAAGTAATGGAGGTGTGGTATTACTTTTCCTGACCGGATGCTGCCGAGTAGAGGACATCAAACACAGGACTGCACCGACTGTGAAATTTATTTTCGGGCGCGCGCTAATTACCCCGCGCAGTCATGAACAAGGACAGCGCAACATCGTCTCGAGTAGTGGAAACATACTTGGTAGATTACGTTGGACAGTATACAGCGGTAGAGGGACATAGGAACAGGCATTGAGACCCGAGGGTAGATCCAGCTCTGACCAGACGTCGCAGGCAGAGGGGGACCTCATCTCTGTCGAATTTGGTACTTAGTTCGGGGAAGGCTCCCTTAGCTGCCCCTAGCAGGGCGAATGCTGATTCAAACACGAACTCATCGCAAGTCAAGCTCCAACCAAAGTCCTCGAGGCCGTCTACGAGGGCGCTGAGGGCTGCTTGGATGTCCTCAAGCGGCTGAGAAGCCATCGCGTTGCTCTTGAGGACCAACTGTGTGGAGAGTAGCTCCTCTTGGTAGGTGTTGGGCTCTTCTTTATCGAACGATCGAGGTGCTGCTCGGTCCGACACTAGAGCAGTTACCTCAGCTACTGTTGGCACTCTCAATGGCTTAGCAGTATACCTCTGATACAGAGTTGGGAGGGGCGCGAGGCCTCCTAGATTCTTGCATACAATACACCGAACTTCCTCGCACTCATCCTGCACCATCGTTACTGCGATGGTATCAGGCACTAGAGGGCTGACTGCTACTCGAACCTCTGCTGGCTGTGAGGAACGAGAGCATAGTTCCAGCCAAGCCTCTCGATGAGGTGACTGAGCTCGGCTTCGGGCGAGGGCTAATACGCCATCTACGTCATTGGGATAAAACAAGTCATGAAGACGCTCCACCACGTCCCCTGTGAGCAGCTCGGCCTTGGCCGCTGTGAGGGCGACCAACACAGCCCCTCGGTACTCCGGCTCATTAGAGATGTCCTTAGATAAGGCCTCCGCTATGAGGCCCTCTGATGCGTGATTGTTTTCTATGAGTGCTTGGAGGACTTGAGGATGGTGGGAACTCTCAACAGTATCAGTGGACACTGCAGCAGCAACCCGTGCACGCTGTATGCCCAGGAAGCCGTCACCAGCATCACACTTGCCCACAGCGAACTTGAAATTGCAAAGCCGGGCAATGTCCAGGACTATAGTATTCAAGGGAGGGCATGCAGAAGTCTCGGCCAGGAGGACTTGCAGGTGCTCGACACGGAGGTCGCTGGCCTGACCAGTGTTGACCAGGAACCTTATCATCTCGAGCTTTGCATGCATCTCATTAGCCGAGTGAGGTTCCAGTCGAAGGGCATCCATAATCCCTCCAATAGCATTCAAGTTCACTAAAGCAACACTGGCAAGCTTGCGCACATGGCAGATAGGAGATCTCGCCAGTTCCCATACAGTCCCCAGTAACTTCTTATGCTGTTCTTCAGCAAAGGCTTCCTCATTACCCAACTTCAACTTGCATACAAAGAGCAGAGCTGGCATAACAGTAGAACCATCGCCTGTATCCCCTTTAAGTAGATCAGTGATAGCATCGACCAGTTGGGGCTGTCTGCGACATAGTTCCATGAAGGTAGTAGACCGTCCTGTCTGCTTATGGCCACTCGCAACAGTATGCTCTGAGTCATTACCAAGGACCTGAACTGGCAATAGTGACACATGAGAGACGAGAGGGGTTACCCTTCTCGAGGCATGGACGAAGAGCAAAGTCCCAGCACTGCGTATGGGCCAGGTCTCCTCCCCTCGTTGAGACAGGGTCTTCACCGCCAGCAGCAATATTGAGTTCATGACCTGACGCACATTCCATGCACTAGAGGGCAGCCATGGCAGTCTACACTCTCAGGGATGTATCCTGCCAAGTGGGCATCTCTGACTATAGCACGCAGGACATTGAGGGCATGTACGCAGGATGTTACATCGTCAGTCGAGGGGCCCTCGAATACTCTGAGGAAGGCGATAAGCACCATCGAGTGATAGATGCCTTACCCTTGGAGGCGGGCTATGGTGTCCAAGAGCAGCTGGCAGGAGGTGTATCCTCCTCCACTCAGTCTCAAGTGGCTTGCTGAGCCCTCGAGGATCCCAACGAAGCACAGACCGAGACCGAAAGAACGTCGTAGGGCTGGCGGCAAGACCTAGGATGAACATTCCAAGAGGACTAGAGAGAAACGGCCTACCATTCGCAGCCTCGAACGCTCCTCCGAATCTTCCTGTACAGCCACATGGTCTTCCAGGAGGCTATGCAAGTCTTGAAGCCATTTATGAGGCAACTCCTGTAGTCGAGGGTCTTCAGCGAGTAGTAGACGTCTTGTGACCTCCGCTAAGCATCGGTAGAGTCGGGTGTTAGCCCTGAAGAGCTAGGAATGAGAAGGAAGCTAGGCTAGTGACCGGACCCTGGGTGCTTGGTCGATAGGAGGAACAACAGCAGCATGCACCCGACCTTATCCCATACCTCTACCGAAGAAGAGCTCGCCAGAGTTACCAAGGACGCAGTGGTCTCTGGCAGATCATAGACATACACCAAGCATTGTTGAAACTGGACCCACCTGTGAGAGGCGTTGCAATGCTCTCCATCGAGCTAAGATTCTCCACGATAGCCTCCAGAGCAGATACACTCTCCTTGATGGTAGTCCAGGCGGAAGTAGTCGTCGAGGTATCATCATCGATATCCATGCTCACGTCATCTGTACAATGATAAGAATCAGGCCTCGGAAGTAGCAGTAGCCGACCTGAGGTATCCATGGCAATCTCGTCAGACTCCACACTCTCCCCTCCTGATACTATCAGGTGACCACGGCAGTCCACATTAGTCTTAGGACGCCCAGCCGCGTGGTCCAGTCCTGCTGCTGTGAGTAGGTTGGAAGACACCAGGACCTGGGGGATCGAGTTGTCTAGGGGCATATGCGCCTACTACACCTACATCGTCCACGCCCTCACTGATGGCACCAAGCACGCTGACGCAGACAGACAGCAGTATCTCAATGGAAGTAACAGACTGTAGTGAGGAGCCTTCCATAGTCGGCATGCCACGTATGGTAGGGAGGGCAGCGGCAAGGCAGGCTAGATGGAGATGCAGGCCCCTAAGGGCGTCCAAACCCTGAAAGCTGCTATTACACAGAAATGGGACAACGTGTTACCTTGCCAAGGCTCTCTCTGAACTCCACCCTAACCGTCCTCATTATACCCTCCACATAGGCTACCCTAGCCTCTCCCCTCAAAGCTTGGCTATAGAGGGCCGCTAGGGCAGCGGCCTCACTAGTCCAGCGTACTCGAACGACCTGACCCAAGCAGACCAACACATACAGGCCGCACAGCAGGAGTGCCAACAAGCACTACATGTTTGCTCTTCTTGGCGAGCTCGGCAATACGACGTTCTATCTGGGGCGCCACTTGGAGAACGACCTCAGACGGTACTGCCTGTAGGGCCTCCACCACTGCTGTACGCTGCTTACTCCATGCTGCACCCAGGGCTTGTAGCAAGGCTAGTATAACCTACAGTAGCAGAGGTACTCCCAATTCCGTGGACCACACCAGTCTCGCCTCTGAGTCGTAGAAGCCCAACTCCTTCGCAATAGAACAGCCTGAGTAGACCTTCCCCGTGTTGAGCGATACAGGTAGGCTTCCAAAACTGAGGACAACACTCTGAGAAGAAAGCAGAGATAGTCCTTACAGCTTGTAAATATGCTCGACTATTGTAGCCGCAGGGTAGGCTATCTCTAATGGCGAGCCGGGTCTGGTAGCGACAGGAATAAGGTAGTCCAGGAAGAGCTCCTTGAGCCATGGGGTATACCTCTTCGACGACAGAGCAGGGCCTAGGACGATATTCTTCACATAAATGGGCCGAGTGAATAAACTGCGTACCATCCTCTTGCTGTGATTTCATCTCCCACGTATCGCGTAATCGTTGTAAGAAGGCCTTCAGTGCCGAGGTAGCCCGTTGGCGTAGTGCTAGGTTGGAGAGTTTCAACTGTTGACCTACACACGGCCCCGAGTACAGCCTCATCAGACTACACACATCTCACCGTTCCTCACGAACAAGGGGTAGACCAGACGGACCTCAGCAGGGGTGATAGGAGTAGTAGCAGGGCTCTTCACTGTAGACATCAACTTTAAGGCCGAGATGGCTATAGCACTGTCGGATGACAGCATCCACCTCTCCAATGTCTCGATGGGCAGGCTACCGTACTGCTCTCCCTTCCTCTCCTAAAGCATTTGATGATACTCCGAAAGCCCCCACGCATCCCCGTATGTACATCATCGATCGAGGCCTGGTCTTCTTCCTGGCTGGTCTGGTGCCTGCGGCTTTTCTTCTTTGATTTTGGTTCTACCAGCGATAAACCCGTCTCAGTGAACTCCGCTCGGCCCAACTTCCGGAACAGACCAGCAAGGGCCAGGATGGAGTAGTCACCTCCTCCTCCTCCTAACACACGACAAGTCCCCCTATGACCTCACGCTGGCCTACGAGTACCAGCCTCACCATCCTCAGAAACCCTAGACAATGCTGTATTCCAAAGCGAAGTCAATAGCCCTGGTGGAGCCTTGGAGAGTATCTACGATGCACCATAGCCTCCCGTAGCCGGAGCCCTAGTGAACACTATGTACATTGGTAAGGGTATCCGCAAGGCCCTGACTAAGATCGTTGCCCTCATCTTGATGAGCCCGATCAAGGAGGGCCAGTATGGGGCCAAAGAGGCGCTCTTGGACATCGAACTTGACAGCAGCACCCTCAGGGACCTGAATACAACGAAAAACGTGGCTATACGAATTGGATCGCCATTTCTCATCCGTGACAGAGAGCAAGTCCGTGACCAGGGAAATATGCATATGCTTAACGGCACATGTGAGTAACAATATGAAAAAAATTCTGAGGAGATTTCGAGAAATTCGTCCGAATTTCTGTTCCCTCCTACGCAACTTCGTCTATCAACTTCTATAATCAGTAAGAAAACTCCTGAGCTCGGTTGAGGGAAGCGGATATATATTCCAACACTGGATCAGGCTTTCCCCCGATGGGCCCTGACTACACACTGTAACACCCGATCGACGTATTACCATTGAGCACACTCTTTCTAAGAGTTGTTTTGCCGCACTAGAGGAGCTCCCCTCTCGTGCCACAGTATCGAGAAGATCCGGTACCATATCCAGGGCCATCTCCATAGCATCGTCGCTAGATACAGGCAGAAGGAAGGAGAGACCCTTGCATTTGGCACGGCAGAATGGCAACTCCCTTATGGAGTCCTGGACGATCCTCAGCTTTTCCGGACCCGACGCGCCTGCTTTGCGACATTCAATTTCGAACAGCTGCTCGCAAAGCTGATGTACCAGATGGGAAGGGTGCTCCCAGTGCGTGACACAAACCTAACCTCATTTGCATCTTCCAAGTTCAACCTCAAGATACTTCTTACTTGCAGCATCTGCCTAACACGCCTCGCCTCCATGAGCGGACCTTCATCGCCTCTACTGACTAGTACCATCAACGACTGAAGGGCGTATAGTAGGGTAGGAGTATCCAGTGCTGCATGCCGATCCAACAAGACAGAGGTGTACGCCTCAACACCTGAACCCTCTCTATTGTCCCATTACTCATACCACACCAATCTCACATTTCGCGGTGTATTTTCGTCTCATTTCACCATCTGCAGCCGCTACCAGGAGGCCTCTACTGAGCGCTAAGCAAGCTGATGCAGGCATGTCACTCGAAGGTGGCACAACAAGGGTGTCTGTCATTGGGGTAACTCCACTAAAGAGACCAAGGATCGAGACGGCATACCATTGAGTAGGTGTAGAGCCGAGCTGCTGTTGTTGCTGCCTATGGTGCAAACGTGGTCCATAAGCTCCTCATTCTCCCTAATCTCATCTGTAGAGGTATGATATCCCTACGCCAACAGTGTACTGCCTGCTACTACCTATACCGTGTGCTAAGACCAGTGCAGCTTGGGTAGTCACATCAGGAGGTGCTTGAGTCGACAGTGCAATCTTCAAGCAGGCTTGGCAGACCTAGGATGATTCCAGTCACCAGCTAATGCGGCTATGTCCTACCTCAGCAGTAGAACCAAGGTACTCTCCAGGCCTCCTAGCCGACTTTGTAGAGAGGACCAAGATACTCTGTAGATAGGCACGAAAGGTAGTGAGGCACCAGTCGGACTGCTCTCCCGAGGGGCCAACAGATTCCCCAAGCCGCAAAGCATATCGACCGAAGAGCACCTCCTGAACGGACAGGATAGCGAAGCTTCAATCCACTAACATACCATAATCCTATTAGCACGAATGCCTATATCGTCATTGTAAAGGGCCTTCGTGAAGTTGTACCTTTTACACATTTCAGTGCCCTCTGGCCCCTATAAGTAATACTACTCTAGAGCCAACTCGATCTGTCTAACGAACTGTATGGCCTTTGTTGGGATAGGAGGGGTAGGGGTAGACTCCAGGAAGGACTCTACGGCCGTGCCCTCTGGGAGCAGGGTATCGTTATACTGGGAAGGATACATTTCCAACGTGGATGTTGCGACGGATAATAGGCCTACCCATCCCATAATGACCTCATCGTTCCCTTCTACTGGCATGTTATCACACGTCCGAGCCAGATGCTTCCTCCATGGGTGAGTCGGCATGCCCCTTAGTTGACGATGGAGTAGCTGATAGGAGGCCCGAGTAACGGCCGAGAAGGCACCCCTACTATCACTACTACCCAGAACACTTCAACATCATTTGGAGCTGCCTCAGCCAAGCCTCTCAACGCTACTATCTGCCCGGATATATCCTCCGCAGCGAGATACCTACCGGTCCACCACTGTTGTTGCCGAGCTACCCTAAAGGACCCTACTCTCGTAGATGCTTAGTAGCCTCTAACTGTCCTTCTAGCCTCCCCCTCAGTGCCTCAACCCTCCCTTTGTCCCCTTTGGATAGAGAGATCGGTGTAATACCTACATGCTACTATCACCTCTTGTTGGCTATACCCTTCCCTATTACGATCGATACGCCTTGGTTGAACCTTTGACTTACGACGGACCATGAGGGCACACACCTATGCACTGTTTCGGTACTTTCCCATACTTCCAACACAATACGGAAGAGTAATGCAACAAGTTTAGAATGGTCCAGAAGGGCTACATAATAGACTCGGAAATGGACTCCCTGCTCTCGAGGCAGCAGCTACTGCCACCATCACCAACAACATCGACTCAGTCGTTCGACAGGAGTCACTCAAGGCTCAGCAATGGTATGATAGATTATATCGCGACGGAAAGGGAAGAAAGTATTTCCGTAATAGAAGTATCAATGGTAGTATTAAGAGATAGAGTAATGATACAGAATAAGATACCTACCGAGCCACAGCCGATCGCTGGGGATCCGGCGGACGATGATGGCGAGAAGTCATCCCAGGGGGTCGAAGTCCCTCATTGGGTGGAAGTGTATCAACAGTGAGCATCTCACCATTGAGCACGATCCTTCGTACCGACTCCTTGGAGAGAGGGGCCTGCCGTTGATGTATGAGCTTCAACGCTCGTTCACAACGTCGTACGTCCTCTATCATAGTATTAACGGTACCGCCTGCAATAGGGCATATACCACATGGTCTACGAAGCTCTACTATACTACTTATCGATTGCCAATTCATCGCTGCTGCCTCTAGCTCCTCTTCACTAGCTGGCTCGTTGGACACGGCACGGAAGGCTAGATCGCCATTGTTGATCTGACCCGTTATAGGGTCCCGCATCTACACTCAAAGTAATACACTCCCCACGTCACTGTGTACACTCACCATGGTCTTCAATAGAAGGGCGTTAACCTTAGGTATGCTCATGTTGGTGACAGACGTTCCCTGTGGCAGGTTAGTAGGGATACACCGCTCGTATCCAGCCAGGCAGGCAATGACCTTGTGTGGTGCCCGCTCTGGTCGGAACTTTATCATACAACTGAATAGCAATCTGTGATAACCACAAAAGAGACAACTCCTCCTACCAGTTAGTGAGAACATGCAATACTCTGATATCCAGAGGATGGGCATTAGCTTCATCGAACAGCACTATCTTCGGAACTAGACTCTCTACTGCCTGAGACTGACCGTCACCAAGCAAATCCTGAGCTCCTATACACTACTCTCTGTAACCAAGATCGGGTCTTGGTGAGGAACTTGATGATTTCGGGTGTAACGCGCATATTCAAAGGCAATACCGGAGGTAGAACGGCAGGACTCTCCTCTTCTCCAACGGCCTTAGCAGGCGGTGCCCCCATGTCCAACCCACTAGCCTCCCTCCCCTAAAGACAGGCATCAACGGGGTCCACGTTGCCCTCTCCAACTCACCACACCATTACGCTGTGAAGCAGTAGGGGTCCGTGACGAGGACCTGGAGGAATTTGCCGATACAATCCCTGCCGACTTCGGTGCTTTGGGCTCATGTCGGGGCCTATACTTGATCCTACGTCTACGCCGCTCGTGGTATCTGGCGATAGGGATATCAATCCTGCTACTCCTCTTGAGAGAAGTACTACGTGGGTCGGCCGATATACCGATTGGCCACCAGGAGGTAGAGCAGATCCTCCCTCCCCGAAAACTTCCGAAATAACCGGGAATGGACATGGGAGCTTTTTTCAGGACGATATCTAAGCATAAAGCATCACATCATAAGGACGAATGACAAGACCACCAACATTTGATATATATCCCGTATCATCTCCCGAAGCATATCCCGCATGTCCCTCTGCTTCCTCTCTGACCCTAGCTCGAATAGCTGTAGATCATCTGCTATAACCTACAGAGAGAGGCTCATCAGCCCTATAGAGGGAGTATACTCATCACTTTAGCTTCTCTCAAGGAGTCCGGCAATGGCTGCATAGCTGATGCTGGGGTATCAACGCTGTTGTTCCTATTCTCCCTATCATCCGTAGGGTCCTCCGGCCAGCTCTCTGCATCGCTCAGTTCCACCGAACTCTCACTACTACTCCGTGATCGTGGGCCTGGGTACCCTCTCCTGTCACCTCTACTCTTACTGCGACCCGGAGTTTGATCGTCTGAATAGACAAAACATGAATGCTCTATCGAGAGACCGAACGAAACCGAGTGTAAGCTCTCATTGTCAATGCAGCGGTACTACTACCTCCCTCATCCTTAACTCGCCCTATAGAAGCAGACCCTCTATTCCTCCTTCTGCTCCTGTCCCTCTCCACAGAGGCATTATAGGACCGACGATCGCGACCCCGTCTACTATCAGGGGACTTCCCCCTCGACTTCGGGGAGGACTTCCGATGGGTACTCGGTGACTTCACTCGCTGCCTCTTGGGTTCCGGATCCTCCCTATCAGCCTCAAGACTAGCTCCATCACCCTACCCAACACGACCATCAACACCACCCTGTACAAAGACACTTTACCTCCTTCACTGGAGTTTCGTCATCCCAATCCACAGCTGGGCTCTCATGCTTCACTCGGCTCTCTTCATCCTATACCACACGTTCACCAATAACCCGGTGTTTCCTCTACCCTCCTTACACTATTAAAACCTCCCCCTCTCCCCCCATATCGATACGAGGAAGAGGATATACGTTTATCATCCGAATGCTGCTGCTGTTGATCCCACCACTGCTCATCCTCGTACTGCCTACTACCATTACCATAATACCCTCCATAGTTATACTGACAATAAGACGACTCCACTACAAAGGAGGGATACCAACACCGTACTTGACGATTCCTCCCTCCACCTCCTTTCCATGCAGACTTCCCTCCTCCTCCACTCCCTTTCCACCATGCCCCTCCTTTGTGGCCTCCTCTACCTCCCTTACCGTAATGATACCCATGTCCCCGAGATGAATCCGGAGCAGATGCATTGGGATCCTACACACTTATCGATACTGCTGCATCATACATTAGCTCTATCACTACCACTATGAGCTTAGACCCTGTCCTTGTTGTAGTCCAATTAGAGGTTAACTTCACCAACACCTCCCCAGCAGGATCCTTAGTGACAGTGATGATCTCTCGAGGCACCATAGGTATGCCACCCCAATCCCTTATGTTGAACGTCTGAGCTATCCACTCTGTACCCAGATATCCTATCTCCTGATCAGTAACGATGTGAACACCACAAGGCTCAAATGCTACCTTCTCCGTGCCATCAGCAGCTCTAACTGTCATGGTTCGGTGTATGCCTGGCAAACCCACTAGGAGATGACCTAAGAGAGATGCGTCCAACGAAGAGTAGAGATGGTATGCATCACCAATGAAACCAACGAGTTTCGGATTATGGTTGAGCTTGTCCAATCCTATCCACTTGCCCGAATGGTTCATAAGGAAGTCCGTAACATATCTAGAAACGACCAGAGTAAACGAAAACCGCTCCACACAAATAGAGATGCACCTCAAAACCTTCGCATTGGAGTCGGACTGCTCCCTGAATTTAATATCCTTCTCATCCCTCTGAGCTACCACTCCAGGCTTTGGACCAGAAGACCCAGAGCCATCCGACATCAGATGCTACTATAACCGAGGAGTAGGGAAATGGGAAAGAAGAAGAAATCAAGTAAAGTAAACTGATACGACACTCACAATACTACAGCGTACAAGTACTAATATCTTCACAGTCGCATAGGGATACGAAGCATTCCCATGTACACGCTCCACGAACTAGAACGAGACATGATCACAATATGAGGGTAAATTCTTATGCTTACAATGGTGGTTTCAAAAGAGAACAAGTGGTGACAAGTTACATTGGTGATAACAGTGCTGTGCATACAGACGCTACAGAGATGGTAGTATTGACCTCTAACGTTTTCTCTTCCTCGACGAGGATTTCCCAATTTTCTTCGAAGCAATAGGTGGGGTGCCTGCCGTTGTCGTCTGTGCTTCGCTTGATACTCCCGATTCCTGCACACCAACTTATCACCTTATGAACAGATCGCAACGACACCACACTACTACTTCACTAACAACAGAATGCTTCATATTAGCTGCCGCTCCTTTCTGTGTTCGTGACTTCTTACTAACATGAATTGGTTCAGAGATGGTAGATTCATCTGAAGTCATTCGATCCCTGCAGTAAAGTTGATAAAAGTAGAACTACCCTCGGGTGTCCCAGGGGTTGACGGGGTTGCCGATATAGCTGCTGATGTCTGGTCGGAGGTGAGAGGGGCACTGGTCGAGCTGATAACACCAGTGTTAGTGAATAATACTCATCTATGGAAACTACCTCAGGGACAATAGACGATCAGCACTCTTGACTCCTCGATGCTTCCGACTACTGTGGCCCCCACCTTGAGAGGGCAGGCGATACGATAGGAGATTTTCAAAGCCCTGAATGAGGCCTAATGCTACTGAGCACAGCTGAATGATAACTACCACCTTGACGTAATTGCCATAGTCTACCGAACCGTCGAGATATCGATACTCCTTCTCGGCGATCTCCAACTCCACAGAGCGAAGGTTCTTCAGCAGATTGTTCCTAATAGTGGGCGCATCAGCCTCACTACATCACTACTACTGTTACCGGCATTGGGTGTATCCTCGTAGTAGAGAAGGAGGTAACCTATCCTTGATGGCCGAACTAAGCTGACCAAGAGGAGGAGCGGACGACATGAATGGGGAGAGGCTAAGCTGGGAAATGCACACCGCTGGGATACACTATTAACAGCCTGTATAGAATAACATGTCAATATCACACACACACTGGTGAAATGGAAACTTCAGGGATTAACGACAAAGATTATAAGCAGAACTTATAGTCGTAGAAAGGGAGCCCCGAGCCATCCCTAAACAAGATCCCCGAGTTGTTTTACAGGTGAGAGCCGTTATGGGAGACAACCAGATCCCCGAATTCCACCCGACTTATCGGATTTCCCGAGTCAGGGGCACCGTATCACATCTGCCTAGCGGAAGCCGCAGATTAAATAGAACGAATACGAACCCGTGACCGTCCGAGGGTTTTAGGCACCTTTCACTCCCATTCCGCTCCACAAATGAACTCTGCACAAGTAATGACCCCAAGAAAATCGTCACTGCGCCACGAAATTACGCGCTAAGCCACGCCGGATCGGCGTGTGTGACCAACTTCTCTTTAGTAAAGCAGCCCCTGCGTGGTTAGATGTCTTACAACGGAGCATGGCTTATCATCCATGCACTCTGCGGGAGCGAAGGATGCGAGTGTCAACAGAACTAGTGCGGCCGGTCAGAGTAAGGTAGAGGGACAGGTATTGTGTGGGAGGCCGGCCCCTAGCAGTGCACTCGTTTAGCTTGAAGTTGATGGTCGTTTAGAGAGGGCCCCTTGCTTTCTGCAAGTGGAACCCGCTCTGGGCATGCAGCATTGGGGAGGGATTGCGATACTGCTGGTGGAGATACACTATAAAAGTATACTCCTGGCAGTAGTTCCATTTTACATTCTATTATTTATACATGGGTGGCTGTTTCTCCTCTCTTCCCGGTCTTGACGATCCTGAGGTTGGCAAGCCTCACACTTTCAAGGTAATATATTTCCGAGGCCCTGTCATTCACTAATACCTATCCTCCTCAGATAAAGAAGTCACAGGCTAGCCCTGATTCCAGAAACTTCGAAGTTTTCAACGAGGACGACGAACACTGGCTTTTGATCAAGTCGGATAGCGACTTCAGTGATCCTACTCCCAATTTCTCTCTTGTCAACAAGGAGCGTGAACACGTACTATTGGGGGATCGTATTTTCATATCGGATCGCGTTTTCTTCAGGTTCTTGGTAAGTGTGAAATTGGTGTGGAAAACGTCGTCTGCGCCAAGGATGTCGATTGGGACGGTTCTGACGATTCAAAGAGGTATCACACATAAGCTGCTCGAAATAATTGCATTTTTGTCTTTCTTGTCAGCGACGAGTCAAAGGACTCAATGTTCGACTTTGACGAGAGTGAGCTTAAGGTGAAGCTTCGTTGGAAGATCAAGCGTTCTGCTAAGTTCTCCGATGAGGATGGCCGAGAGTTCGCCACTGTCGGCTTACAAATGAAGGGCCTCTCTAAGTGTGAGGTCGAGATTGACGAGGAAAAAGATAAGGAGAACGACGAGGACTGGGATGCTACTGCTAAGGTCAAGGAGGTTACCTATACTCTGGTAAGTGGATTCTCATGCTCAATCTTTGTTGCATTTGTCGTTGATAGTCTATTGACGGTAAAGACTATGACGTGAGTGTTGAGAGGGGTAACTGGGAGCACTGGGATCGCAAGTGGAAGGTTGATAACATGTTCGAGGTGGAGTACAAGCAGAATGATGGTGCTGATGAGGTCATTGTCAAGACCACTGATCTTGAGGGCAACCCAGGACATGTGAGCCCCTATTGACCTTGACCATCCTTAAATGTGATTCTCAGGATCTCCTCATCGCCTTCGCTATGAGTGAGTTCATGCATCCTTGCCGTCAACTCACCAAGCTCAATCAAGCGGCTGTCCAGATTGGAAAGAAGGCTATGATGGAGCATCGTAAATAGGCGTGTAACGGCTAGTCGGTGATTCTCATTAGTCATTGTAACCGGTTTCGGCCTTTCCATCAGCGTTGACGTAGCAGGTTTCCTTCGCTTCGCGATATTCCAATAAGAGTAACTAACATAAACATTATTTACGTTCCTAACAGTGTAATCACTAGGTTTTGGTACGAAACATTGTTTCGAAAACAGATGGAACTATGATGTGTCTAGTTGTAAAGGGTGGTTATTATGATATCTAACTCAACTGAGTATACACATATTGACCATGAAAATAGGATTGATATATTATTTCTTCGTACAGAGTTTTCATGTGTATGTGGCCGCCTTAACGCTGTCGCCGGTCCGGTTATGGTTCTGGTTGAGAAGTTCTCATCAAACGAGAAGTTCATCAAATCTCGATAAGATCCCGACCTCAACAGAGCTCGGTGATAGGATATTCAGTGGACGGTGATGAATACACAGCAAGGAATAGTCGGATGACAACTTTCGTTGGGGAAGGGTAACAGGACACCCACCATTGACAACATAAAACTAGTGAGGTCACTGTTAATGAGCACTAATGACAACGGTCATGTGTGAAACTCAGTGAGAAGTGCCTCATCACAACCCAGGTCGCGAGCTCTACCCACTGCGTGACGGAGATCCGCTCTGAGATAGCTACGAGAATACAAGTTGGGCACCATACTTTTACTCAAGTTCCGCCTCTTCCTCCCCTCTAGCTGCCAGTATCAATCGAGACAACGCTGTGCATTTTCGGTACCACGCCTTCATGTTTGTATCGTCTCTCGCCTTAGACAAGGACTGTGGATCACTGGGGAATGTATAACTCACGACAGCTTTCTCAGCAGCTGATAGCGCATCTCCCCATCTGCCCAGCTTCGAGTAACATAGGGCCATGTTGGAGTGGGTGCGGGCCTCCTCCTCATTCCAGAGTAGAGAGTAGTCATAGCATGATAATGCGTACTCATACCTACTGGAATCTCGCACGAGTACAGAGACGTATACTTTGTCACTTCTTGGCTTTAGTCATACAATTCCCCAGCTCTCGCAGTTCAGCCGCCCTCGCCCAACTCCTCTCCATCTCAGTAGTATCGTGCAGTACTGAGCACTTACTCCATGATGCTTCGCTTTCGGGTAATAACTGCTCTCGTAAGACTTCCACCGGGGAACGATTATCAGTTCCCACCGAGTAGACCTCGGGAAAATGGCTTTCAAAGGCATGGTAAATGTCGGGCTCGGAAGCTGATGAGCACTATATAGATCCTTACGTGACAACGAGCTACCTTCAAGCTCAGTCAGTATCCTGTTTAGCCTCTTCCCAATCACCAGTCGGGAATCCGTCTCTCCTACTCCGCAACCGCTGTCGTTACCATTGAACCAGCACTTGGACAAGTATTGCAGACAGAAGCCCAACAGCTGAGCGTATCCTAATCGTTCATTGGGGTAGCTGAGCATGCACGTGGTACTGGCTCAAGCGATACGAGCGGACCCACGTGTCTTCGCCACTTGTGAGTTTATAGAAAGTGGCCCACAAGGAAGGACTTAGACAGACCCGTCTAAGGACCAGGTGATGCACACCAGGGCATGCATCACGATCCCAGATACTCCCATCAGATCCGGCTATGGGAGCAGTCACAATACGACGTACTATATCAATGACTTGCCCCGCCAGGAAGACATTATCGTCACCAAAGAGCTCTACCTAGGAGACAAAATGACAGTTGAATGGGATGCTCCATAGACTACCAAAGTCAGCATACCCTCCTCACACTCCGCGATGGCTCTGCACACTCTTGGTGATCGACTATGCCATAGATAAAGGAGGCACACCAAGTGATGCTGAACTTTTTTCATCGCTCTGGTGGTGTGACAACTGGACCTCCGGCAGAGTCGTCCCGTTCAGTGCCGCTATCGCATTCTGTCCTTCTGCGAGATCTCGAAACCGTACAAATGCCAACCCTGCGAAGCATCGTCATCGAGATGGTGATATCCTATTACTCCATGCTAATGGCAAAAGCCTGCTTTAAACAATCTGATTTCCTCAAAGTGAAAGTCTTAGAAACACGATCAACAGGCATTTTAGCAGTGTTGGAATCTATGCTCGCTTTCCTCAGCTGTGTTCATAATTTTCCTCACCAATTACAGAAATTTATATATGAAAGTCGGTGAAAATGTAAAAAAAATCTCCCAAAATTTCCGAAAAATTTTCCATATTCTCACCAACCTGTGTGGATGATCATGTGCATATTTTCCCACACTGTAAGCTTGTCAGGCCCAGCAGCTCACCTCGAGACTCCTGTGTTTCCCTGTCTTTCATAATGAACACCTCATCAATTCCGCCATACCTAACGCCCACACACGAACACTTCAAAT